AGGTTTACATTATTATTTAGTTGTTTTTTCCTTACCATGCCTTTTTGTACTCATTTAAATTTTTAACGCACTTTTTTAAATATTATTACTATAAATTAGTTATCACTTATTCATTATATAGGAAGTTTCATAGTTGTATGATACATATTTCTACTGTCATTGATACTTAAGTCTGAAATAGTTAATTACGCATAATTTTTAGTTATATAATATGAACTTAATGTGTTGTACGAATTTTAATTAAATAAATAAAAAATAAATTTAATTGGTCTTGCATTTTATAATTTAAAAATCGAAAATAAATTGAAAAAATTTGCGACTCGGGCAGGACTTGAACCGGCATCGTCAGCGTTCCGTGCTGTTGCTCTACCAATTGAGCTACCGAGTCCTACACCTCATCGTCGAATTTTTTCAACTTATTGATACATGCACCTCTCGCGCAATGTAATTTCAACCTTAACACTTGCGTATTAATGGTCTTGAATTTGTCCAAAATGTATTTATGGGGTAAAACAAACCTATTTTAAATCTTCAAACTTATCATTCTACATTAGACAAGGCATTTTACACAACAAAATTGACTCATTCAAATCCCAAATATACTTAAGGAAAATTAAACATATGAATAACTGAAACTCATCGTGTGTTTGATTCAAACATGACTCGTAATAAACGTGTGTGCAGAGCCACGTATGGATAAGGGATGTAACGTAGTTAATTTTATCGGAACCGAAGCCGGATTTTTTAAATGCGATTCATCGGATTCGGAAAACAGAAAGCAAACTGACAAAGAATAAAAGAAGCGATTTCAAATAATTGTTTTAATTTTAGCAAGAGGTGGTTAATAATCAAGGGGGTCGTGTGTCCAATCCTCATCCCGTCATCAACATTTTTCTAATGAATACATAAATTTATAACTTATTTAAATGTTATACATTAAAATAAGAGGAAGAAAAAGAAATTTGCAAGAGCGCTTGTGAAATAAGGGAAAGCACTTAGCATGAGCTTGACCACCCAGGGTAAAGTAGAAGCGCCGATTTTCAGTGCCGCCCCGGGGATCATATCGACACTTAACCGAATGAACGGAGCCGAAGCTCTGTAACATCCCTAGCGTGCATACGTCGAGAGCACTCCCATATGACATTTAATCAGAGCTGGATGAAGACTTGCGAGATGAAAAGCTTTCTAACTGAAATCAAACGCAAGAGACTCGCTTATGTAAATACAGTCGCGTACAAGAGTTAAATTCAATTTAAGTTAATATCAAGCTGTATCTCTAGGTTTTAAGGAAAGTGCTCCAGCCATATAACATCTTGGATATTCGGAAATCCACATAAACTGAAACGCGGTTAAACTTCACGGCTTTTTCATGCGAAATTAAGACCGTTAAAAACTCAGCCTCAATCACCGTAACTACTCGCGTAACTTTGACGGGCTCATTTGGTCTAACGGTAGCAATGAATGGCTTATAATCAAATGATCCATCGGGCCCAACGTGTTTCTGAATTTTTATCTATTCTGTAACGTGTTGAAATTTGTCTGGAGATCTGGATATTAAATGGTGGGTAGGAATAGCGAAATTCCGTCCGGGTTCGGAACTACCCTCCACAGATGAAAGATGTGAAGTTTCATCACGTTTTGATTTCAGTCTATGGATTTCCAAACATCTAAACCCAAAATAGGCATTGCATCTTGTTTGAAGTTATATAGCTGGGGTATATACCCCATTAAGTGAACACCAAGCTCGTCCGTACTCGTCTATCATAAAAAATATGAAACATAACTTTCCTGTTTACACCCCGCGGGCGCAAAATGTAATTACATCGGACGATGCTAATTGAAGGAAAAAAGTCTCTCATGTTGAACCCTGAGTGAATAGCTTGGAACCACTTTTTAATTCCATCAACGGAATTAAACTTTGTTAGAATCACTAATGGCGTTGTGGATTACGGCAGGCTGGTATGCTTTTAAAACCTCGTTTCTTTGAAAGACGGAACCTGTATTCAGAAGTGGGATCTTGATAATAAATAGCCCGTTTGATGAAGTTAGTAGTAAAAAAACTTAAAATTAATTTTAACTTTGTGCTAAAAGGTATCGGAGTCAGCTTGTGCTCAGCTTAGCGTTGATTTTCAGTCTGTCCCTTATGAGATAACAAGAAGTACCATAATGGTGATGAAGATATACAGAAGTAAAAAAACCATTTTATTTTATACCAAAATACTATGACTCAAAACCTTAACAGTTTAAAACGCGAAATGTATTACTAAAGCTATTTACAATTTATTTTAACTACGACCCGAAGTTTCATATGCTTTACCGTAGTCACGTGGGACATTATTAAAAAGTAAAAAAAAAAATTCTCTTTACTGTATGAGCTATCAGCTAAACAGTACTATATTATATTTTCGTAAACCTATAACATGTTCGATTTCGAACCACCGACCCTTGCGATCGAAATCGGGGATACGAACTCGAAGACCATAACGGCTCTCCCTCTAAGCACATAAATGGATGATGAGAAATTATAAAGACCCCGAACACTATGTGATACAATTTTCCTTATCCACGCCACTTTTTAGTCTGGAAGTTCAGGGTTTTCAATGAGAATGCGGATTTGACGTGATGATGACTAACCGCGTCACGGTTTTACCCGCGCGCAAAGATAACGATCAGCGATAGGCATAATTAAAAACGAATTATAAAATGACACGGACGAGAATAGAACCTGAAACACTGCTTTCATTCATTATATGACTAGCTGTGTCAGCGACTTCATACCTGACTATCATTAAATCACCATCATCATCATCAATGCAAATCTTTATAAACTTAAGCTGCGAAAACAGAACAAGATACTCAAAAAATATGTATAAGAGAATGATTCCTCTTTATATGATCGAACAAATGTCCGCGACACTATACATATGTCTGTCTCTGAAGATTAACTTGCAAGAACGACGGGACGCGTCCGATGTCGATGTCGGATAGCAGTTCAAATTTATAAATATAAAGAGAAGGTTTGCAAAAACAAATTAGTATGACACGGTATTACTAGTATTAATATATTAAGCTGAAGAGTTTGTTTGTTTGTCTATTTGAACGCGCTTATCTCGGGAACTACTAGTTCAAATTGAAAAATTATTTTGTTGGTCAGAGCATTTATCGAGGAAGACTAGGCTATAAAACATCACCACGAGACTCATTCAAGTGAAGATACAGAAAGAAATGTGAAATAAATTCGAAAAGTTATTCCTCATGAGGGGTTCCGAGGTACACAATATGTTCAAGATACCCAAAAAAATATGTATGAAAGAATGATTCCTCTCCGAATGATCTAAAAAAAGTCCGAATATGGTATTATTACTATGTAATTGTGGACTAAGATACGTAGAAAGAACTCTCAAGATACCCATTATCCCGACAACATGCTTCGTGTGTGCGAGTTATTGTGTGTTAGCTATTTTACACTAACGTATCACCGTTATATAATAAAGCAATAAATCAAACGCATTGTGCTCCGTTTCACAAGTCCAGATCTATTTCCGCGGACATTTTAAAATATATTGGTTTATGTTGTATTTTTATTTTCGAAATGTTGCGCTACTTCAAATGAAGCTTTACACGTTGGCACCAAAATATAGTTATAGCAAGCATACGAGATAAAACACTTAACCGGTTGAAAACGCGATATATTAGTTTAAATAAAACACTTTAACGGTTTAAAACGCGATATATTAGGATGCAATAACCTAATATATCGCGTTTTAAACCGTTAAAGTGTTTTATTTAAAGCATACGAGATACGTATTGAAAACAACAGTTGTTTTTATGTATTGTACACTAAAACCAATATACAACTAAGGAAACATATTTTTAAACCGTTTAGACGGTTTTTTTATCCGTTACTCGAGTCATATTGACTTCAATAATAAGTAAAATTAACAATACAAATAAATACTGTCTGTAGCTTAGCGAGTAGTACACATTTAAATAAAACACTTAAACGGTTTAAAACGCGATATATATTAGTTAAACTTATATGTCTCACTGTGGCCACGGCTGCTGCAAATCATCCGAAACGTCGGGTCGTAGTTAAAATAATTTTCTAAAGTTTAACTAAAATATAACGCGTTTTAAGTTAGTTTAGTAAAGCAATTACTAAGTATTGTATAACATATAAAAACTAGTTAAAATCACTTTTAAGTCACCGCTGCCGCAGAACATCCAAAACGATTTTTTTAAACGGTTTTAACACCGTTAAAAGTGTTTTATTCAACGTCTACAGACAGCACTTTAATAACACTTTTAATATCCGAATAAAGCCGCAATGGGTCGACAGCACATCTTGTGTTGATGTTATATGAGGTATTTCAAACTTCTATGATAGAAAAAAAATATTTGTACAATAACTCGTTGAAGGAATTTTGTACTCGACTGTACACGACGTCCACGCTCCAACGACGCTCGTGTGAGGGATCTCTAAGAAAATGGCGCGTTAACAAAATTAACTATAATTCAAAGGAAACGCCGCGCCTCGTTGGGATAATCGGGACGTGCAACAGATGTGATAAGCGTACGCGAATCCTAGCTACGCCATTCAGGAGCAGCTGTTGCCGAATGAGACGTCTATACTAATATGTAAAGCTGATGAGTTTATTTGTTTGTATGTTTGAACACGCTAATCTCAAGACCGACTGGTTCGAATTGCAAAAAATATTTTTGTGTTGGTTAGAGCATTTATAAAGGAAGGCTATATAAAAGCGCTGTGACTACCTTGTGGGTTTTCATTGCGTACGCTGCGAAACGAACGCTCTTTAAATGGTCTAAAAAAGTCCGTTTTTAAAATAAAGTTAATTTCATCAAGAACGACGAGACGCGGACGACGTCGTGGGTAACAAATCAGAACTCAAATTTATAGAGTTGAATAGGCATTTCTGATACCCAAAATAACTATTCGACGCGGACGAAGTCGCTGACTCAGCTAGTTTGTGTATATTATATCAATTTAAGCACCTACTTATATCATTAGACACTTTGATAGGTCCCACAACTGGGACTCCGGTTTCATCGCTAAGATGAAAACATACTATACTTTAATATATTACTTACTACAACTATACTATATATAGTATTGTACTATATTTTTACTATATTTTTATAAGTACTATATAATTTTAAAGTAGGGTAAACTAAATACGATCTGTATTATCCCCGCGACCACGGCTGCTGCAAAGCATCCGAAACGTCCGGCCGTAGTTAAAATAATTTTCAATTAGACAAATTATTATATATCGCGTTTTTAACCGTTAAAGTATTTTATTTAGATAGCTCACTACCTATAAAGAAATAACATATTTTAAACACGCGTTTACATTAACTTCCGAGTGTTATTAAATGATTTTTTATAAAATATGTATTCCATAAAAGGTGTAATATATGTATATAATGGCTTAAATTTAAAAATACTTTTCTTTTAGTTGTTGTTGGGAACCTTAGTAACAAATGACAAGACAAGACAAGTGTGTTTTCCCCGAGATGGGAAACTAATGAGAGAGGGGTTTACGGTTTACCTCTTCATCGCCATTCATCCATTTTCTAATCAACATGTAACTTAGCTTGTGGCTAGGGTAATTAGAACTTTTTTTAAAACCTCTCTGGATTAAATATATATTTCAAAAAATATAAGAAATATAATATTTTTTTATATTTCCTTCAAATATGTGATCTATATTTTGCTTATAGATATAGCCAAACGTTTAAAGAAGAAAGTTTTTATTAAACGAGGATAGATAGACAGACCAATCAAAAAACATAGTAAAACCCCAATATTTAAATATTTTATTGCTATTTGAAGATTATGTTTTATCTGATTATTATGATAAATAAATCAAACTGTTATCATAATTATCCCTTAATAACAGGATTATCTTATAAGTAATATAAACTTATAGCTACGGTAATGTGTTAATGGAGATAAATTAATTATTTTTTCCACCAAAGCTTTTAGTACATTCCTTCGCACTTCATTTGGTTTCCTATATATTTAAAAATCAAACAACTACCACACAGTGAAGGAAAATCAATTTTTTGTCCAAATTGAATGAACAATGCATAAATAAATATTTAATTTTACATGTTTCACATATAAAGAATTAAAAAATCCTACAAGATTCTTCTAAGATTAAATATTATTTAAATTAAGAACACTTGTAGTTTAAATATTTTTAAAATCCGACAGGTGTGTCAACAAGGCATATTTGAGGCAATATAACGTACTACGTGCGTCAAGTCGTAAAAATTCTTACTCCAGTATTATTACTAATTGTTCCCTACAAAGTTAATATACACATAATATGCGCGAACCGAATTAATTTTACGACTTCGTAGCACCAAAGCAAGACGACAGCATAAGGAAAGCCAGCTTACGGCTTACCTCTCCATTGTAAACAGCGACTATTTATAATTTACCTTATGATACTACAGAAATAGCGAATTATCACTCACCATATAAAATCCTTGCAGTGAGAACAGAACGTCGGCTGCTTGAAGAATCTCGGCATGAACTTGTGATCCTTCACCAGGTAAACATTCTTCTTCTTCAGGGCACCCTTGCGGCCTCGAAGGCGGAAAGCCTGTCCGGCCTTCAAATCACCACCACCCTCATCACAATTATTATCTTCGTCCGCCATTGCTAGAGGCTAGCGAACGGCAGCCGGTGGATAGGAAACAATTAATGTCTCACAATACACGCCCGATGAGACCCGCACGAACGGACCGTACAACCTCACTCAACGGAACGTCATTGCAAAATTACAATTTGTTTTTTGTTTTTTGCCATTTGCAGATCTGACAGTTTACAATTGGACTGTCAATGTCGTTGTCAATTTCAGTATAGACATATTTTAGTTGCGTCAAGTTTACCTAACTGTTGCCAGTGTATTGACTTGTTTTTGCCATTCATTTGATTTATATTTATTGAAAAGACCAAAGAGATCAATAGTAAGCTAAAATTTTCTACAACAGTAAAAAATATGCCTACGTATCTTAAAAAACTGCTCAATTAAAAATGTGCATGTTTTGCCGCCTTCGGTTCTACAATTGTCATGTCCAATGCTACTTTTTATCGGCCGTACTATAATTCTCGTAAAACAAGACAATCAACCACCACAACAAGACTACTGAACCATTTCACACGGAGAGGTGTTATGTGTTTGATAATATTCGTATACAAAGAGACATACGGGTCGGAAAAGGAAATAATAATAATAAATCTCCTATTAAATGAGGTCCGATATGTATAAAATTACAATTTGATATAATCTATACGTTAGCAACTTTCTTTGTAATTACTCTAATGTAGCATGCAAAGGGCATTCAGATCATTATTTGCTTGCAAATGTTATTTTACTTTTTGTGTTTTTTTGTGTTGTTGTGTGTATAGCTGCTGAGTAATTTTGTTTATTTTACTTATTTAAAATTATGTTATATCTAATATCACGCAACTAGCTGTATCAGCGATTTCGTCCGCGTAAAATAGTTATTTTGGACAGCGAAATTTGTTTTTGCAAACCTCCCATTTATCTTTATGAATTTCAGCTGTTATCCACGACGCACTTTTATCAATTATATCACCTAATTCATTTATTGTGATAAAAGGTCGACAATCCTTAAATAAAAATAATGCTAATAATTTTGTAATTAAAATCACAATGACCAAGAAATATGTGCATAGGGCTAATAGGAGTAGCAAGTTGCAACACTAAACAACGGTCATTGTCAATTGTCAACAGTAACTACTGGGGCGTCTGGCGGTCGTTATTTTAATTTTACTTTCAACTTATTAAGAATTTGCTAGAGCTGTGTCTAAGTTGTTATTTAGTTAAGCTTCTCACAATTTATGTAAAAACTAATCCTAGTAAACGTGTGTTGTTTTTGTGTGTTCATTGATGGTGTAATAAAGTTATAAAAATGAGTTCCGACGGTTCAGAACCAACAAAGTGGACTCTATCTTTAGCCGCCCAATTTGACGATATAAATCGTTTAAACAATGTCTTGAACGACGGATCGGTGGAGGAATGTAAGTCAATTGTACCATCCTACTTCTTAACTCTAAGTATAATTTTAAAATCTATTATAATGCGAGAATATTTACGACATAGGCTGGACTTGAACCGGCATATGCTGTTGCTCTAAGCAATTGAGCTACAGTTTCCTACGCGTCATTGTCGAATTTGTTCAACCCATTCACACAGCGTTCCGTGTTGTTACTCAAACGGAACGCTGTGGAGCTCATGTTCAATCATCATGTGAAAAAGTATTTTTGAACTTTTGTTACTATACTCTTAAATACTGTCTGTAGTCATACTAAGTTTAGTTTAACTTGTTTAACTAAACTATATCGCGTTTTAAACCGTTACAGTGTTTCTTTTAAACTATAATCCCAGTATTTTACAAGCAACAACTTGGCTTAATGTTCTCTTTGTCAGTGAACCTTACACTGTAAACATGGTTGTGCTTTTTTATTAGTCTTGTGACATAACGTAACCATACTATATATTTTCAGGTTTTCTTGCCTATGTAAAACAAACAGAATGGGTCCGCACGCAATGGGCGGCGTCAGAAGCAGAATCAGCGCGCCTCCAGACGGAGCTGGATGAAGCACTCCGCACTCTCTCGAAATGGGAGGCGAAATTTGCTCATGTTCGTAAAATGCTGGATGGTGAAAAACGAGAGAGGAATATTATTTTGAAAAAGTATAATGAAGTGGTATGTAGTATGTTTTATGAACTTATGCGATAAAAGAGTCACATTTCTGTGTGGTATATGCGGCCACCTAGTGTGGTTCTAGAAACTTTATCTTTGGATAATCAATAACGTGGCTTTGTGTGATATAGCTACAGTATATCTATATCCCTCATGAGGTATTAAATTAAAGCTTTTTTTTTAACGGTTGTTGTAGGAATGTTGAGATTTTATCTCGGTCATTATGATCTACAAATAGTAAAGCCTTTTAATACCAACTAAGTCTTTCGATTTTCTAGAGTCTAAAGTAGGGATGCACAGACTTATTAACCCCCAGTGTTGATAAGTCTGTGCAGGCCAGGGCAAATCATGAACTGATAGAACCAGAAGTATATGTGGTAGTCAAGAAGTATATGTTGTAGTCAAGAAGTATAGTAGGTAATGTGTTCAGATGCTTTGCAGCAACCGTGGTCATGGGGAGCCTGAAACGTCGGGCCGAAGTTAAAAATCATTTTCAAATAAGTTTAACTAATGTATCGCGTTTTAAACCGTTAAAGTGTTTTTTTAGGTAGTAGGGAATGTGTCAATATTGAAAATAATTTATTAATTTGAGTACTAGTTTTGCTGTTAGCCGTCCACCAGTATCCAACCAGTGGGCCACAGTCTGTGCATCTCTGGTCTTAAGCAAAGGCTTACTATGTTGTTAAGATATGGCTGGGTTATTGTAACTTCCATCAAGGGAAACCCATGTTTATCTGGCATAAAAGTGAAACACTATAGGTGGCAATCCCAGTTGTTAGAGTTGTCAAACGGTTAATGATTATAAGTGGCAGGACAGTGTAATTTACAATATTCATATTTTTTATTTATTTATTACTAGTTGTGCCCGCGACTTCGTTCGCGTGGAATAGAGCGGCTACTTTGCGGCAACACTCTCACCTCACGTCACTCCTACTCTAACTCCCACTCCCAAAAAGCCAAAGAAGAAAGTTTCATTGTTCTAGCTTCAAAAACCAAGAATTTACATACAAACTTTCACCCCTACCACCCCTTTTAACCCCTTAGTATCCTTTTTTCGCAATAAAAAAGTTTAGCCTATGTCCATTCTCAGAGTCATCTGTGTTCCAAATTTCATTTAAATCCGTTCAGCAGTTGTCGTGTGAATAACAGACAGACAGAGTTACTTTCGCATTTATAATATTAGTAAGGATTGCTTTATTATTTATGAAACACTCCACAGAAAATACATATTAATGAGGAAAAATCTTACGTACTAACTTATAAATAAGAGGTAACCTTATCGCTAAGTGTCGATCTCTTCCAGGCAACCTGAAGTACAGGAGAAAAGAAATATTCTTGTTAATCTCTTTAATTCATTTACAGAACAAATTGTTAGACTTAGCACGGGACCTGCTATTTAAAGACAATAGGACAAAACTGAATGATGAAACCCTACACAAACTTGCCTTTTTGAATGGTACAGCACAACAAGACCTTAACACCAAGATCAATGGGAACGATCTTAATTCTACTGGTAAGCTCACTTCCACTACAAAGTAATTATCATTGGATATAGCTTCATTATTTAATCTTAAATCCCGTTGGACTAGTATTTCTTTCACCAGTCCATCATCAAGTCAAGTATTTTAAGGACATAAATAGGATAGTAATGAGAAGGTTATGAGCCAGAGTTTCGATTAAAATCTGTAGATTTCTGAATATCCAGAGCTGAAAAAAGGCTGTTCAGTTTGTATTGAAAAAGTCAACTTCCACTCCGCTGTAATAAAAAACAAAAAATTATGTTAACATAGTAAAGCATGCTTCTTGAGTTTTCGAGTTGCAAGGACAGGTAATCGAGAAATCTTTACCATTCACCATCACAATTAGAAGATGGAGACGATCAGAACTGTTCTTATCTCTTTGCTTATTTAAGATTTAAAACCCAAGAAGCTTTCCAAATTTGCCTCGGAAACCTTTTATAACCACAAAAATGATTTGACCATAAATTCCATGAGATAATATTTCTTCTTGTTTAAGTGATTTAGAACTTGTGCCATATGAATATTTTATGTGAATTCTAATCTTACCAAAATTACCTTCCCCCCACTGTTAAAAATCTCCCTATTAATAGGTACTCTTCTCTCCGAGATGTCATATTCCCGCTCTGAAGATGACCTGGATGAGTCAATGGCATCAGCACATAGGTCCTGGGCTCACCGTGGCAGTTGGACTGTCCGCGAGAATCCACCAGCTAGCAAGAAACGTCGCTCGTCAATTAATTCATCTGCAGCTAAGGTAGATATTTAATATCTATACCAATTTAGATACATTTAAGCTGAAGAGCTTGTTTGTTACAACAAGCTAATCTCAGTAACTACTGGTTTGGATTGATAAATTCTTAATCTGATGCTGGTCTATTTAGAGGAAGGCTTTTGGCTATTAAACATCACGCTGCGATAAATAGAAGCGAAGAGAAAGTGGGAAATGTGGAGAAAATCAGGGAAAAGTATTTATCTTTAAAGGATATTGCTGCTGTGTAAACCGTAAATATACCCAAAATGATGGATGCAATGATTCCTCTTTAAATTATTTAATAAGTGCCCATGATAGTATATATCTAAGCTGATGAGTGGGTATCCTTACTAATATTATAAATGCGAAAGTAACTCTGTCTGTCTGTCTGTTACTCTTTCACGCCAAAACTACTAAACGGATTTGAATGAAATTTGGTACACAGATGGTCTAGACCCTGAGAAAGAACGTAGGGGTTGTAAAGGGTTGAAAGGGGGGTGAAAGTTTGTATGGAAATTCGTTGTTTTTGAGGCTTGAACAATAAAACTTTTTTCTTTGGCTTTTTGGGAATGGGAGTGGGGGTGGAAGTGGGAGTTAAAGTAGGAGTGATGTGAGGTGAGAGTGTTGCGGCAAAGTGGCACTTACAACATAGATTGGCTGCGATAAATGCGCAATTACATAAATTAATAAACAGCCTAAATAATTAAAAATTCCACCCCAAATCACTATTCCACGCGAACGAAGTCGCGGGCACAGCTAGTAATTTATAAAGATGAGAAGGCATACAAAACTAATTATAATGCCCAAAATAACTATTCTATGTGGATGAAATCGCTGACACAGCTAGTATTTACCAAATGTAGTTTAAAAGTTAAATCGTATTGGCTAATACTGTCTTCAGTTAGACAGATTCAAATCTCAAGACAATAATAAATTGTTTTAATCAGGCGAGTCGCAAAAGTCCTATTTATTGTGTGGAAATAAAATTAATAAGTGACACCGACACCGAAATGTGTTTATCAAATGACTTACGTAGGAAACGGTTCTCATATGGTTTATACCTGACTATTAGATTTATTAGGCAGAAGACCTGAGGATTAGTTTCAGAGCACTGTCTATAGTTTACGCGAGTAGTACACATTTAAATAAAACACTTTAACGGTTTAAAACGCGATATATTAGTTGAACTTATTTGAAAATGATTTTTAACTTCGGCCGGACGTTTCGGATGCTTTGCAGCAGCCGTGGTAACTACTATATCGCGTTTTAAACCGTTAAAGTGTTTTATTTTAATAGTTTCAGAGTGTTAAGAAACAGAATCTGTAATCTTTCTATTATTCATTACAGACAGTGGAACTGCAAGGAGGCAAAGTACTGGCTACGGCCACGACTACTTTGACGCTGGAACGAGCTCCGACTTCACATGATTTGAAACCACCACAGAACTTTGTAAGTTTTTATGGCACAACTTGTTTTTAATATCACATTGGGGCTTGTTCTCGTGGTAGCACTGTAGTGCTAATAAAAATAATCAACAGGTTTTGGCTTCCACCACCATGTTGCTCATCAATTTATCATTCTGGAACATGATGGACTTCTCAGGATATCTGGATATTTAATTTTAATCTGCGATTTCCAAACGTCCAAATCCTAAATAGGTCGATAGCGCATTTTGTCGAGATGTTTAGGGTATTGCTCTTACGATCAAGTTAGCTCGATGCTTCTCTATAAAAAAACTGTATTATATTTTTATTATTATCAATTTCGGCTGTCGACTTTCAGCAACCAATATCCGAAAGCAGCGATGAAGCAGCCACCCCGCGTCGTAAATCCTCTCGCCGCTCTGACAAAATGATGCAGCAGCAGCAGGAGTATACACCATCAGCTCCACCCAAGACCGGTATGGTTTTTAATGCCTGTCATACTACTTACGATATATATTCAGCATTTTAGTTCCCTTTCTATAATTTAGGAAATCATTGGTTATGATTATAATGGGAATTGAAATTATCATCGTAATCAACTTTTAGAAGAAAGAATAGTTTAAATAAAACACCTCAACGGTTTAAAACGCGATATATTAGGTCAACTTGTTTGAAAATAATTTTTAACTTCGGCCCGACCTTTGGGATGCTTTTCAACAGCCGTGGTCACGGGGAGACAACGGTAGTCTCCCTCTACTACTAATATATCGCGTTTTAAACCGTTAAAGTGTTTCATTTATATGTGTACTACTCGCTTAAACTATAGACAGTATTTAGTCATCGTGATGTCTTTGGCCTTTCAAATTATTACACATAAGTAAATAAGAAGTACATAATTATTAACATCAAGAACCAAGAAAGAAACTTACAGAACTCTATCTGTCCATAGATACAGAAAGTGCATCAGACACCGGCCGTCTGCCACAGCGTACTCCGTCTGTGCTGTCTGCTGGTTTTGGGTCTCCCCGGACCAGAATCCGGCAGCACAACTTCGTCGCAAAGACATTTTACAAGCGGGAGATATGCGCGCCTTGCGGAAAGCCGTTAGTCATCTTAGAATTTTTGCTGTTTCAAAGTATCTTAATCTTTATGGAGACTCATTACAATTTAAATAACACACTGTAAATGTAAAACGCAATCGCATCGCGTTTTAATGCAAACTTAAAACGCGATGTATATGAAATTTATTTCCAAATTATTTAAACTACCCGGCGTTTCATATGCTTTGCCGCAGTCGTGGTCATGGGGAGACTATAGATGGAGACACCCGCACCGAATAACTAGTTTACATCGCGTTTTAAACCGTTATAGTGTTTTATTTAAATGTGCACTGCTCGCGTAAACTACAGACAATATTTACTTAATACTATACAAAAAATAATAGTTGTTTAAACCGTTTTAATATTCTTCTTTGCCGCCACGTCGTAGACGGTGACGTCATCAATTACCCACATATGACGTCACATTGTGTTTTAATGTAAGTGATCGATATCGTAATGCGCTATATGAATAATTTTTAAAATGTCCTTTATATTGTTTGGTGTATGAATTGAACATAATGTTAAGGAGCTCCAGAAATGTATTTTTAAAATTCCCATATTTGCTGATATATATCAAATTAAAAATCCAACGGTTTTAAATAACGGTGCAATAACATTTTTAGTATTTAGTATTAGCATTGGTAAACTTATAAAATAATTACTTTGTTCTCTTTAAAATGTTAAACTCGCGTAAACTATATTTATGGCACATTTTCATTACGAGTTATATTTTAATCACTGGCCTACATGTAGCTAAATTGTTAAACATGCCTGGCATTACGTTAAGCATGAATTTGTATGGTGAGATTACCGCCATTCTTGTCTACCCTCGTTAGGCATAAGAAGGCCTGGCTTTGCATCGTGAGATTAACGCCATGCTTGTCTGTCCTCCACTTTTAAGAAAATCAATATTTATACCTTCAGTATCGGCTTCGCCAAGTTGGGTGTGCGCTGCGAGAACTGTCGTGCGCCGGCGCACGCGGATTGCCGAGCTTTGCTCCCGCTTCCTTGCGTGCCACCCGGACGAGCTGCGCATAACCAGGTATTTACTTTATAGGATATAATATCATTATTTTTTTTTATTTCTATACTAATATATAAAGCTGAATATATAAACGCGCTAATCTTAGGAACTACTGGTTCGAACTGGAAAATTCTTTTTGTGTTCATTAGAGCACTTATCGACTTCGTCCGCGTAGAAGATATTTCGGACATCAAAATTTGTTTATGGTAACATCTTTTCAAGTTGTTACCTACGACGTCGACCGCGTCCCGTTGTTCTATCGTTCTTTACATATTTATTGGGTATCTCGAACCGTTTTTGCAGCGCACGCAATGGAAACCCTCAAATATGAATATTTTACCCAGTTTTTCCCATATTTCCACTTTTTCTACCTCTTATTGGTCGTAGCAGTGTTTTACGCAGATACCCTTTATGCGCGCTCGCATTCGCCCAGTAATAATAAGACAAACTCCTTCCAGGTGGGCAGCATCTCCGACTATGCTCCATCAACACCGCCGATGGTTCCAGCACTGTTGGTGCACTGTATCAATGAGATAGAGAAGCGAGGTCTCACTGAACGAGGAATTTACAGGATCAGCGCTGTGGACAAGGAAGTGAAACGGCTTAAGGTATCCTGGTTAATAACTACGAACCGACCGCCCGACGGCTGTGAAGCACCCATCACTATAGATAAAAGATTAATTGTTAAACCACAAGGAAACACAACTCCACAACGAAACGTAGGATTTCTAGAGATTTGGCCGCTTGGGGGGGCGGGGGTTTGTTCGTTTCTCTCTTATTTGTCGACCTGTACTGATGGCCGTTCCGACATGTAAATGTTCCATCGAAATTCGAGACCTGGTTTATAAGAGGCGGAGCCAAAGGTTATTTCTTTATCCTTTAAATGAATTGTGTTTGCATTATAGTCTTCCCTGAGCTTTTACTTTGAATAGTACTTAACATATTTACAATTCTTGGCTCGAACACAAACAACGCCCGGCAACCCCCCCTCCATACACACAATACCCCTACACACACAACCCCCACACACACACAATACCCCTACACACACAACCCCCACACACACACATTATATTCAGTCATATGTCCCATTACAGCTTGTCATAATTAACATAATTTTGACCTCGCAGGAACGCTTCCTCCGCGGCCACGGCTCGCCGCAGCTGGCCAACGAGGACATAAACGTGGTCTGCGGCTGCGTCAAGGACTTCCTGCGTTCGCTGCGCGAGCCGCTCGTCACGAACGCGCTGTGGGCGGACTTCATCGACGTGGCAAAGCTGAGCGAGCCGACGGACGCCACCGCGGCCATGGTGCAGGCGGTCAGCCAGCTGCCGCAGCCGAACAGGGACACGCTCGCGTTCCTCATGCTGCATTTGCAAAAGTGAGTTTTTGTTTAGTTGATCAAGAATAAAAAAATAAACCATTTTAAAAGGCGAAATGTAGTACTATTATGAATGAATGAAAGTTACTTAATTTTTTAATAAAGGGCTAGTATCGGTTTCATACGTGAAATATTTTAGTTAATTTATCATAACCGGCAAAAAGTATTTTGTCTGTAAAGGCCCTAGACAATTTAAAAATAATTTTAATATTACTGCAAAAAAAAAACTACATAATCAATTAAAAAGTGGTTTTTATTTTTTTGGCTATATGGCGTACCATTTTTAAAAATTTTAAAAGTCCATAGGAAATTGGATGAGGAATCCAAAAAAAATGTTTCATAATTGTACCAGAACCTCGTAACATCGTGCAAAGTCGAAATTAAAACTAAAAAGTCATTTTTTTCGAGGTTGTTGTCGACCGATCGATCTCCCAATTTTTTCCGAGGAGCTACTATCGACCCCCAAAACATATCTCGAGTATATGTCAATTGATGAAATAGTCTCTGAGAATATACTTAATTTATCTGATTTTTACATATTTGGCTTTTTCTCGAAGACCGATTGCTTTCAAAAGCTGAAACTCTCAGAATCTTAATATATTATTAGTACCTAAAAATCCCCGCAGTATCCAGCCGATACCTTTCGGGGGCAAATTCACCATGCTTATACCCCTAGGGCCTTTCTTTACTTTACGCGAGTAGTACTTTTTATGGTAGGGCAGGACAGATAAGCGTGAGGTTTACTTGATGGGAGGTGAAATACCTCGGACATATTACATCTACACAAAATGCGCTGTCGGCCTATTTTGGCCTTGAATATTGATCTACTTGTGAGTATAAAATCGATAATTTAAACGGACACACATAACAAACGATCCACAAACACATAATCATTATCGAAATACCATTTCAGGGTAGCGGAAAGTCCTGACTGCGAAATGGGCGTGGAGAATTTGGCGCGTATTTTCGGCCCCAACGTTCTGGGATACGGTATGGTGACGGAAGCACCAGAAATATACACCGTCACTACGCAAATGGCTAATGTGAGTATACAACGCTTATTAATAGGCAACGGGTCGTGGGTCCGATCCCTATCGGGTCCAACATGATGATTGATGGGAGTCGAGAATGCCCCAGCTATATAAAATGTAAAAATGCGCTGTCGACCTACTTTGGCTTTGACCGGCTTTGGGTATTCCAAAATCCACAGACTGACACCGAAACGCGATCAAACTTCACGGCTCTATCATTACCAACCAACCTACTATCCAACCATTTAGCATGCAGATTTTCAGACGAAGTCAAACATGTTTCAGAAAAATTGTTAATTGGTAAGGGGTTGTCCATAAATCACGTGACCTTTTTTTAGAATTTTAAACCCCCTCCCCATTGGTGATACGTAGTGAGGTTTAAGACCACCCCCCCCTCGCCCCATCTCAACATCACGTGTATTTTTAGTACCTACAAAGAATCTTAAAATTTTCTGAATATTATCCTAATATAATATAAATAGGTATAAACTATAATCTTTTACTTATTCTGAAATTAAGGACCATAATAAAAATGTCTACACCATTTGTTTAAAAATCGCGTGTTTGACGAAAAAATAAATACACGAGATATCTTACTATACCCCCCCTCCCCCCTTGTGTTATTTTCGTGTTTTTTTATTAAAACCCCTCCCCCCCCCCTTTCAAGCCTCACGTGATTATTGGACAACCCCTAATGGGATAAGGGACATGGTGGGGATTGAATCCACAACTCGTTGATATGGCCATACATTTCATCCATTAGACCAACCAGTCCTAAAAATATTACTAGCTTTATATTAATACTATCAGACCATTATTTTTTTTAAATAAAATGTTTGTTATTTCAATTACAGGTAATGCTAGTTATGCTCCGCTTACCAGGCGACTACTGGTCACAGTGGGCGTGTCCCGGCGACTCCCCCCAGCGCCAACTCCAAGCAGCGCAGAAACCACGCGGCTTCTTCTTCTCGCCAGCTGATAATGGGTAAATACTGTCTGTAGATTACGCGAGTAGTACACGTTTAAATGACACACTTTAACGGTTCAAAACGCGATGTATATTAGTTAATAGCGTAAGTCAATTCTGCGAGTTACGCCAAATGCGACGGCACAGATGGCGCTCGCGTAGCATTTTTATTTTTTTTAGGTTAAAATAATTTGTTATTAGTTTAACTCATATATTTCGCGTCTTGAACCTTTAAAGTGTTTTCTTTAGATGACAATGGGAATTAGAATTTTCAAACATATGTTCATATTTGGCTACATGCGAACATGAAATATTATTTTTAATAGATAGCAAAAAAAAATTAAGATGGGAACTCTGAATGGCTTTAGTCCTTCGAGTGTCGACGTCTTTCTAGCTTCGCTTTTTTTGGGGCTTTGATAGAGCTCAATCAGAAGGTCGATTGTTGTTTCAGTGGATAGGTAGAAAATTTGTTGTAGATGAAACAATGAATAAATAATTATTTACAAAATTCATCTACACGGGCAGGTCGGTCTCACATCGTCATCTACAGTGGTAGATATATTGTATGTATAGCTAAGGTCACTATCCTTAAATCCTTCCATCTTAAGAAACCACCGAACCCCCCCCCCCCATGACCACGGCTTTGACCTTTGTCATAACTCAAAATTGTTTTATTTGATTATTTCCGTTTCGTTTTACAGCGTGTCAAGAAAGAAGAGAAACTTCTTCTAATAAGAAGAGAAATATTTTTTTCCAGTTGAAGTATTTTTTTTTCGTTGAAGAGAACGCTTTTAAGTTAAAAATTACAGGTAGTAATTACAAATGTTTCGCCGCCATTTTCTTGATATATATAGTACATAGTAATATTGATTAAGATTATTAAAACTGTTTTTTTTTGTTTACTATATAAAAGAAAAGCTGACTTTGATTGCTCTTTAGCATTGTATTTTATTAATGGTTTGTTGACTGCTCTTGCGCATAAAGTTTCGAATTCTGTGCAGTGTCGTAAAATATTGCACTTTATGGTCGCGTACTTTTACTCTGTCACAGATTATAAATTTTGAATAAAAACAAGTCTACATTAAGAGGTACTAACATTATAAAGAGGAAAGATTTGTATTTTTGTGTGTTTGTTTGTATTGAAACTCAAAAACTACTATGCTGATTTAAAAACTCACCCTGGGTAAGAAAGACTATAGTTATTGCTTGGCAAAATAAGGGATACTTATCAAAACTTTAGTAGAATTACAAAAGGCATAAAAGACGAACAACCAGCGCGTGCGCAGCGTAACGTTCAATGATGGAACAAACGTGACTTTACAATATTAAACAACTTGATTATTACTTTGTGATATTATATGTCCATCTAATACCGTTTTGTGGAAATATAATTATTTATATGATAATATATAAAGAATTAAGAAGCTTAACTTAGGATTGTTGTAGATCCTTATCTTATGGTTTTATTTAAATTTGAAACCTAACCTAACTTAAATTTTCATAGTGTTTACATATATGTTATCATATTATGTATATTTCTTGTATGTATAAAAATTTAAAGTCTGCTATTTTACCACCTGCAGCTGTCAAGAAACTATTAATAGAATAACCTTTGTGTTGTTGTCCTATTGTTTTGATCCATGGACGTCAATAAACCGCCTCACCAGATGTGCTAAGTTTTTGACATATTATGTACGACTTGCGCCTTAAGCGGCGAGTGCCTCAAAAAGTTACGGATTAAGAATTATTGAATTTTGTTTAATTAAAGCTTTCGCGGGCCATATTGCAAAACAGGTATGTAACGATAGTTTTATCGCTGTGGAAGCCGGTTCGAGTCGTATTTTTTTTTCAGTCGACATCGATTAAAAATGAATATCCTTTGCAAAATGGCCGCAAAGACTCAATCCATTTGAATTGATGTCTTTTTTTTTCATTTATTATTTTTCTATTGATTATAAAATGAAAATAAGAAGAAAAATATATATTTTCCACTATTGTAATTTTTTCATTAAAAAATGTAAGGATTCAAGAAAATTAGTAATTTAATAGTAATATATTTTTTAGTTACGTCTTAAATTTTGTCTACCCTATATTAGCGTTAATTCTATCATGTTCTAACAGAGTATTTAACGGTTTCAAACGTGTAATATATTTTATAGAATTTAAACTGCGATCCGACGATTTGTACGCATGTCAGCAGCTGTCTTCGTGTTGTGATTTAAAATGAACGAAATATAACTCCCGTTTTAAACCGTTATATACTTTTTTTTTTTCATTTTTATACCATCCAGATTAATAAAAGAGTATTAGATATAAATAAAACACTTTTAACGGATCAAAACGCGAAGTATATTTAGCGAAATTATTTACAATATATTTTACTTTGGCCTAGCGTGTCGGTGCGAAGGAAAGTGGGTCTCCAGTTAAATGAATTGTAAATAAGTTAACTAATATATTTCGCGTTTTAAACGGTTAAAAGTGTTTCATTTAAATGAGTCCTTCGCGCATAAACTACAGAGTATTAAATAGCTTGTCAATTTAAATTATCGTTATTTGAGTAAATGGTTAGTTTAGTTAGTCAATAATTGTAAAGATTTTTTTGTTTCGTCAAATGTTTGTAGCGATAAGTTCTACGACATTGTGCTGTAATAATCTTTGACATTAAAAACCATGTACTTACATTTGTTTTTTATCTTCCTACCCACCTCCGTTCTTTTCCTGGAGCGAACACACTTCAGTGTCCGTTCCGCTGATAGTTTATATTTATTAAGTAGTTGATCGCACTCCTGTGCCCTGTAGTAAACGATGTGTTGTTTCCCCAGATGCGAAACCCAGGACCGTTCGCGCTTAACGCACTGCCAGGCAACACTAACCATTTAGCTACAGATAGGGCTATTATTCGTGATGTCTGAAATAAGTGACTTGGTCTTTTATTTTATAACTAGCTGTGCCCGCGACTTCGTCCGCGTGGAATAGTGACTTGGGGTAGAATTTTTTTATTATTTAGGCTGTTTATTAATTTATGTAAGGGCGCATTTGAGGCAGCCAATCTATGTTGTAAGTGCTACTTTGTCGCAACACTCTCACCTCTACTCACTCCTACTCCCTCTCCTATTCCCAAAAAGCCAAAAAAAGAAAGTTTCATTGTTCTAGCTTCAAAAATCACGAATTTCCATACAAACTTTCATCCCCTTTTCGGCATTAAAAAGTAGCCTATGTCCTTTCTCAGGCTCTAAAATATCTGTGTAGCAAATTAAATCAGTTCAGTAGTTTCGGAGTTAAAGCCGGACAGACAGACAGAGTTACTTTCGCATTCATAATATTAGTATAGATAATTTGTTTAAATGAAAATGCCCTCGTTGTTGTGATAAAATTAGATCACACAGTTTTATTAAAATAAATACATTGAGCAAATAAATTAGGAAAATATCCTCTTATAGTGAAACAGAGAGAAACTAAACTAAAATAATTATCTTTGGTTCTTAAATCGGGGGCCATAATTAGACACATTTGTATGTCCGTTTCACTGATCGACATTTACAGACACGTAGGTAGGGGCCTAGAATATCGTGCAAAATAAATAACGAATATATTCCGCGTTTCAAACCATTAATTGTGTTTTATTAAAGAGGCTATGCCTTGCACGACCGAAAGTGTTTATCGTGTTCCCGGAATTCAAACCCGGGTACTCTCAAATCAAAGTTCAATCAAAATTATACAATCGTAAAAAAAAACAAAATGGCGTTCTATTCTTTTCTGTAAAATTCACGTTACAATTAAACACTTAGTGCTGAGATTCTAAATATAAAATGGCAAGTATAAAAAACAAGTATTATGCTACAACACAATAAAATAAAACCACTTTGACGGTTTTAAATGCGATATATATAAGTTAACCTTATTTGAACTACGGCTCGACGTTTCAGATGCTTTGCAGCAGCCGTGGTGACAGGGAGGTCGTAAATTTTCAAATAAGTTTCAACTAGGATATATCGCGTTTTAAACCGTTAGTGTTTTATTTGAATGTGTACCACTCGCGTATACTACAGACGGTATTAACTACAAAATTATCTCAAAACTACAAAAAAAAATGTTTATTCCCCAGGAATCGAACTCATAAATATTCAGAAAGCTATACATTTATACATTAGCAATAAATGCTTATAATTTTAAGCCTATGATTAAGCTACAGCTTAGCTACACATTAAAATCACATTTCTTATGCTATTAAAAGAAAAAAGTGAACCGTGTCTGTTATATTTGTACAATGTAATAAGAAATTTCAACAGTACCTTAGTTTAAAAAACGGTTTAAAACGCGAAATATACCAATGAACATTTAATTTAATATCATTGCTACCCGACATTTCAGATGCTTTACAGCGAGCACTAGGAGAAGCAACCGATACGTTAATTCTTGGTTTAAATAAATTAGCTAATATATTTCGCGTTTTAAACGATGAGAAATGTTTTATTTAAATCATTTTAGTTCAAGTTTATAGTTGAGACAGGTGTAATACCACAGTTGTATAACATCTTAAAAAGATGTACTGTCGGCCTATTTTAGTTCGAACACTTATAAATCTACAGACGGAAGCCGAAACGCGATTACATTGGGTTTTTGTATCTGTGGTCAGTAATTGTTTTGACTTGACTTTTAAATAACTATACTAATAATAATATCATTTTTTTTTTCAGACGTCTAACATAAATTAGAGGATATTTTTTTTAAACATAAACGCCTTTTATCTTAATTTAACTTAAAATATAGCATTTAATTCTTTGGTAAGCTTAATATCTCCTATTTATTACAAATCATGAAATCAGAAATTATATTCAATATAACTTTTAGCGTATAAATTATTATGACTCTATACAATACAGCGAGTGTAAACCGTTGTTTCTATATGGGGCATGGGACATTTGAGTTTCTATAAATCAACTCGATATTCCGCCAAGTAGTTTAGTTACTGGGCCATTTTGTTATTAATGCGGTAATCGAACTCAGTACGTCTCTTTTAAATAAAACACTTTGCAGCCGTGGTCACGGGGAGACAGACAGAGACAGTCTCCCCGTGACCACGGCTGCTGCAAAGCATCCGAAACGTCGGGCCGAAGTTAAAAATCATTTTCAAATAAGTTTAACTAATATATCGCGTTTTAAACCGTTAAAGTGTTTTATTTAAATGTGTACTGCTCGCGTAAACTATAGACAGTATTCAGTACCTCTCTTTAACAATTGAACGATTTGGAGATCTAGTGGTTTTAGATACCAAACTTTTTTTGGGATCTAAATATAATACATCCAAAAACCAGCCTACCAGTAAACAAGGGGACACCGTAAGTCCGGTCTGTAAGGACCAAGTTTCAAATACCAACTACGAAGGAACAGATGGCGCTAGCGTACTTTTTACTTTGACATTAGGAATACCCTCCATCTTTAACCCCCCGTGACCACGACTTTAGCAACGCGTCCGAAAGTTCGGGCCATATTTAAAACAAATTGTAAATAAGTTGAAAATGTTAATCTTAAAAGTTGATGATGTCACAACTGAGATTACCAATTCGAAGTATTATTAGACGCTGTAATATAACATAGCAATATTTTAAATTATAAAACAAATATTTAAATACACAAACACAGCTTAATTGAAATATAAATCATTGTGTCGAATATCTGTTTAGATTTTTTATTATGTTAAAACACGTGTATTTTTAGAAAATGGTGCACAGTAAATAGAACGCCTTTAAACGGTTCTAAACTCGAAACATAACAGAACCCGTTTAAAAGAGTTATGAAGTATGTACATATTTATTTGAAGGTTACATGAAACCTTTTCAACGGTTTTTTATTCATTTTAACTACAGTCCAACGTTTCGGATGCTTTGCAGCAGCCATAGTTACGGGATTCGTCGGGTCGTAGTGTAAAAAATCGTGAAATTTAACGAATATATTGCGCGTTTTAAACCGTTAAAAATGGTTTACGGGACCATGTGGTCGATATCCTTAACAAAACGCTTTTGTACTGTTTCAAGTAGGAAATATTTTAGTTTTTAAGCTACCAAAACGTTATATATGTCACGTTTTAAACCGTCTACTACTCGCTATCTATAAGTAAGAGTCAATAAAGAAACCTGGAATGACTATATAACACTTACATAGCGAAATATTTAAATCACATTTTTTTAGCCTAACTTAAATTATATGACTAGAAACGGAATGATTAGCTGGTTCCATTCACCACGTCTTGTGACGAATCGATTCTCGACGTGTGGGTGTGGGCTGCGTCCCCACCGCCGTATCTGATGCCGTAGGGTCGCAGGTGGTATATCAGGTAGTCCAGGACGTACATCTGTTGAGGGTCTACGTAGTGGAAGGAGACGGCGTGGTCTGAACAACAGTCGAGGCCCTGGGAACAAAGAATTAGTTCACAGGATATAACACAAACTTATATAGATCTATTTTTAATTAGACATTATACTAATTTTAGTAACGTAACGAAGATCAAATTTTAGACCACCAGTTTAGTGTACCAGAGTAATTTTTATTAAACGCTTTTAACGGTTTAAAACGCGAAATATATTAATTTAGTTTTGACTTAAACTAAATACGACTTGACAGTTTAGATGCTTTTCACCAGCCTTGGTCGCGGCAGAAGCATTCGAAATGTTCGACCAGAGTTAAAAACAAATGAAAAAGTTAACTAATATATAACGCGTTTTAAAGCGTTACAAGTGTTTTATTTGAATATCTACTGCTCGCATAGTCTTAACGTTTTAATCTTATAACAAACCGGCTCGAAGGACCAAAACGTAATGCGTACCTCATCTGACGGATAGTAGATATACTTCCAGTACCAAAAACTCCTGTCCTTATTCGGGAATAAATGATCCTTGGGAACGAAAGGGAAGAAACGGCCTCGATGTAACGCGTCACGAGAGTCCACCGCTCTGACACCGATGTGTTCCAGGCATATACCTGAAATTCATATTTAATAATAAAAGACTTTGTTATTTACTTTCTTGATATCCGTGCAACAGACTCTAGCTCCATAGCGGCAAATAGTTTTATAACATTAAATTTTTTAATACTTTATTTTGTTTGTTTGTTTGAATAACATGAAATACAATATACAGACAATATAGTTTTAATGGTATGAAGCGCGACTTATTTTAGATAACTTATTTTTAAATAAAGATGGCGTTAGCAGCTTTGACTTTGACATTAGTGACACTCTCTTCCATCCCCGAAGCATCCCAATCGTCGGACTATAGTTAAAATAGGTTAAGAATAAGTCAACTAATAAATTTCGCATTTAAAACCGTTAACAGTGTTTTATTTATATAATATTTAACAACATGACGTTTCATTGGCCAATGTTGATAAAATAATACTTCTTTTTATTAGCTTAGATTGTTCTGTGGTATTTATTTCATAATCAAGTTTCAGTTACCCATTTCAGCGTCTTCAGCGCCATGATCGCTCGCTTTGCAGAGATGTGGAGACGGTAGACCTTTGTTGACAAAGCGCTCGAGGGCTGCGCTACTCAAGACATAGCCGGCACCGCCACTCATGTAGCCCTGAACGAGGGTAGTTTTAGAAATCAACATATTTTAAAAGTAATACGATATTTTATTTAATTAAACAAATGTATTTGATAAGAAGGTTTTATTGTTGCATTGGTCTATCGTTTATTGACACGTGCGGGACTGGAACCCGCTACCGTCTCGTGCTAACTTTTCTTTATATTTTTAAAGAATTCTACTATGGCCCATTTCTTTATCCGCTTCATTGATCGATTTTACAATAAAATATTTGATCTTACTTATGTGTCCTGCCCGACCGAATGAATGTATTAATTATTTTCGATTTTTAAATTTTATATTGATTCTTCGGGAGTCGATCCCAAGACCTTTCGTTATATACGAAATTCTAGGTAGCACGTTTAACCACATCGCTATTCGAGGTATTTTTTCTATTAACTATAGACGTTTGTGCGTAAACTACAACTTAAAAACGGCTGAACCTTTGATTATGAAATTTTGCATATATATATATAAGTTAAAAAAATTCGACGATGACGGTGACACAGCTAGTGGTTAGAGCAACCCTGGAATGTCCTGGTGGAATTCCTGCCCGAGTCGTAAATCCCTTGAATTTATAATCGAATTCGATTTGTATGGTACCATCATGAGCTAAATATATGAGTTTTCGAATAATGCGTACTTACTTGCGAAGTGAACGGCTTGAATCTGCAGCCAAAGTAAATAGGATCAGAACTGGAATGATCAGCTAGCATATATCGGAGATTTTCAACCACTACGTATCTGTAACATGATACAAATAATAGTAGCAGGTTTGGTTTCGTGGGTTATCCACGATATTTAAACAAACACTTTAACGGTTTAAAACGCGATATATATTATTAGGTCACGGTGAGACCGCGGCTGCTGCAAAGCGTCTGAAACGACGGGCCGTAGTTAAAACAATTATCAAATAAGTTTAACTAATACATCGCGTTTTTAACCGTTAAAGTGTTTTATTTAAATGTGAACAACTCGCGTGAACCACAGACAGTATTAGATCAGGGCCGATAAGCATGAGGTTGATAAGAGAAATACCCCAGCCAAATAACAAAATCTATAATAATAATATATGAAGCTGAAGAGTTTGTTTAAACGCGCATATCTTTTTATGTTGGTTAGAGCATTTATCGAGGCAGGCTATAGGCTATAAAACATCGCCCTGTGACCAATACAAGCGAAGATACAGCGAGAAATGTGAAAAGAATTGGCAAAATTATATTCATCGTTATGGGTTTCCGAGGCGTACGCTGCAAAAACGGTTGAAGATAGCCAAACAGTATGTATGAACGAATGATTCGTCTTTATATCTAAAAAAAATTCCGCGACGCTATATGTCTATCTTTTAAGATTAACGTGCTAGAACGACGGGAAGGAACGCGACTGATGTCGTGGGTAACAGCTGAAGCTTAAAGTAAAAGTTTGTATAAAGATAAAATTCTTAACGGACGAAGTCGCTGGCACAGCTAAATGTTATAAGGCTCTTAGTTAAAAAAAAAATATAGACTTGTTTTTTTATTTATATATCAACCTTGGTCTCTTCCTGTTGTCTAACAACTACATCCTACTTAGATATCAACTCATTATCCATATTTAACGCCAGTAGTACAGCTTAAAACGCTAAATATATATTGCCGGGGAACTCTGGATCGTATATAAAAATAAATACAATATTTTCCTCTCTTTAAACGGGCTTTTTAATATTAAAATATACTGAGATATTAAATAAACAACTTTTAACGGTATAAAACGCGAAATACATCTTAACTTATTTATAAATTATCGTCACGGTTACGGTTACAATTTTCTCAAACTACCAACCGGGACGAAACAGATGGCGCTAGCGTGATAGATATAATTTTGGCATTAGGGACACTATCTTCAGTCCCCCGTGACCACGGTTAGTAGTTAAAATTAATTTGTATGAAAAACTACTGAGTTTACGCGACTACATTTCAATAAAACAGTTTTAACTTAAATACTGTCTATAGTTTACGCGAGTAGTACACATTTAAATAAAACACTTTAACGGTTTCAAACGCATATATTAGTTAAACTAAAAATAAGTTTAACTAATATATCGCGTTTTAAACAGTTTTAACTTGTTTTTTATATATTTTGCCCTCGTACCACGCCTGCTGCAGAGCAAAAAACTTAATATATTTCGCGTTTCAAACCGTTTAAACTACTACTCCGAGTCTAACTTAAAATGCAGTCATTATGTCTTGCATATCTATTTATTTACTGTCGGTCTGTTTATTGCTTTGTGTTTTATGTATCTTAACGAGCTACGTTTTGTTTTTCTGCATGTACAAAGAATTTATTGCAATGCACTCGTAAACCTAGATATTTTGCATAAAGACAAGTCAAACCATTAATATTTATTAGCGAATATTTATAATGAGGCTTGCCTATCAGTCAAATGACAAGTAGAAGTTATAGTATAGAAGTAATATTATAAAGCTGAAGAGTTTGTTTCAATGACCCAATCACAGGAATTACTGGTTCGAATTGAAAAATTCTACTTTGTCGGATAGATCATTTGTCAAGGAAGGTTTTAAACTATATAACATCACAGTGCAACTGACAACAGTGGAAAATGTGGAAAAATAGGGGAAAGACGACAGACGACAGACACTTGATGAAAGATGAAATACCCCACCTATATGACACGATGCGCTGTCTACCTAATTTGGCTTTGGATATTCGGAATTCCACAGACTGATACCGAAACGCGAATAAACTTTACGCCTCTTTAATCAGTGGACGGTGGTGCGTGGAATGGATTTTTGGAAATTCCTACCACCCATTTACTATCTGGATTTCCAAAAGTTTCATGAAAAATTGAGTAGACATGATGTTGGTCCCGTTGGCGATCGAAGCCATGACCCGTTGACTATTAGCCACCATTACTCCAACGAACCCGGCGACGTTCACCCTATAAGTCATTTCAAGGACTGCTTACGTATCATCGTCAGCTTTGAGAAACCAATCGGCATCCCTCCGGTGGTGTTCGTAGACGTATCTGAAGGCGGCCTTTGTTTTCGCCCACAAATAGTCCCGACCCTCGTGGACCGGCAGTTTGACAGTCGGCAGGGAACTATCTGAAATTGTTTATAGAATGCATTGACATCTATAGTTATAGATAAAGCTGAAGAGTTTGTTTGTTCGAACAAGCTAACCTCAAGAACTACTGGTTCGAATTTAAAAGTTCTTTTAGTTTGTTGGAACATTAGTCGAGGAAGGAGCCAATAGGAGCGAAGAAGTAGAGGGACACGTGGAAAAAAACAGGGAAAATTATTCCTCATTGAGCGCTACCGTTGCGTACGCAGCGAAAACGATGTGAGAAATCATGAAACTATGTATTCAATAATGACTATTCTATAATAATAAATAAAAAATAAAATAATAAAAAATAAAAAAGCTTTTTATTACCAAACATATTTACATATTTTGCGTTCCGTTTACAATTCGTATTTGTCAAGTGTTGTATATGTCGGGTCCGCATTTTGCGGTAAAAGCCTCCTCCATACTAGACTAGAGAGTTTATAGACTATTCTATAAACGGTCAAAAAAAATGTCATCGACAGTATTTGTCTATCTTTAAAGATTAACTTGCAAGAACGACGGCCAACGACGTCGTGGGTAACAGCTTTAATTTATAGAGACGAGGAAGAGATTTGCAGAACTTGAAAAATAACTATTCTACGCGGACAAAGTCGCTGACACAGCTAGTTTAAAATAAACCTTGTTGTAAAATGTCCCTCCCACTTACCTTCCACCGTACTCATAAAGAGAAGCTTATTGCAGCGTTTCCCCCACGTCGCCTTAACGTGCCTCGCTTTCCGTTCATGGTTGCTGGGCTGCGTCATCACCCAGCACAGGACCCTGACTCTCTTCGCCAGCTCATCAGCGACGGAACGATCTTCATCACGGTGGGCTGGTTCTTCACTTCCATGTTCCACTACATTCACTATGGGATGTCTCTCCAGGTCTCTGGACGATTCCCTGAAGATATCACGATATGAGTATTGCTGGCTGTGACTTTGTTTGCATGCAGCAAAGATTGACAGGCTTGGTTTTTTTTATGTGATAGAGGAAGACAGACTAGCATGGGGTTCACGTGACAGTAAAATACCTCCAGCCCTACACAAGATCTACACAAGATGTGTTGTCAACCTATTTTGGCTTTGGACATTCGGACTCCGCAGATTGGAACCGAAACGCGAACTTCACGGCTTTTTACCAGTGTACGGTGGTTCCTGACGAATTCCAACATGTTTTAGAATAATTAATAATTTAAATAAAACACTTTAACGGTTTAAAACGCGATATATTAGTTAAACTTTTTTAATGATATTATATCGCGTTTTAAAGCGTTAAAGTGTTTTATTTAAATGTGTACTACTCGCGTAAACTATAGACAGTATTTGTTTTAACCCGTTAAAAACAACATCAAAGAACTGTGGTGACGAAGTTTTAACCCGTTATATAAAGCAGGTACAAATTTTTCGTATAAGATTTTTTAAGTCAACATTGAGATCTATGTTTAGCAAGCAACAAATGTACAGACAAACTATTTCTGCATTATTCACACAATATAGATTGTTTAATTACCACATTTAAAATCAGATTACTGAAAAACATAGAATTCACATGACAGCGGGTGAAATATGCAAGTTATAGAACATCTAAATACGATGCGCTACTACTATTTTGGCTGTGGATATGGGAGTGAAACCGAAATGCGCTGGAACTCTACAGCTATTCCATCTTTGAATTATGTATCGTGGACTCATGATTTTTTTTATTGGCTAGAAACGTGTTGGACCCGACGCCGATTGAATCCACGACCCGTTGATGATGATAAGACCAAATGTGTCCACAGATGAAAAAATCACGAATTAATCGCGTTTCGGTTTCAGTCCATCTTGATTATTTATACTAATATATGAAGCTGAAGAGTTTGTTTGTTTGTTTGAACGCGCTAATCTCAGGAACTACAAGTTAGAATTAAAATATTATTTTTGTGTTGATTAGAGCATTTCTCGAGAGCATAGGCTATAAAACATCGCCCTGTGACTAATAGAAGCGAAGATACAACGGGTAATGTGAACAAAACGGGGGGAAATTTTTCATCTCTAGTTTAGTTTAGGGTTTCAGATCCGTAAGCTGCGAAAACGGTTCAAGATACCTAAAAGAATATCTATGAAAGAATGAATGAATCCTCTTTAAATGATCTAAAAAAAAGTCCGCAACACTATATGTCTATCTTTTAATATTAACTTGCAAGAACGACGGAAAAGGACGCGATCGACGTCGTGGGTAACAACTTGAATTTATAAAGGAGAAGGTTTACAAAAACGAATTTGAATGCCCAAAGTAACGATGCTCGCGAACGATGGTTCTCGGAGACGCTGGCACAGTTAGTATGTTATATAGCTGGGATATTTCATCTACCATCTAGTGCATGTTTGTCTGTCCTTCACTATAATAAAAAGAAGCAAAGTTAAGCTATAAATCTTGAAGCTGTAACAAGCTGAAAAATAATTACGAAAGCGAACAAAATGCTAATTATATTTTATGTGGCGGAAAATTGCATTTACATATAACTGTTATGCAAGCTTGTGTGGTTAAAATGGGTCTTACATTTAAGGTTTTTTTAATACAACACTTTAACGGTTAAAAACGCGATATATAGTAATATATAATAGTTAAACTGATTCACAAATTATTTTTAATTATAGCTTTAATTATTGCTATGCAGTAGCCGTGGACACGGCCGGCAGTTTAAAACATATATATCGCGTTTTAAACCGTTAAATTGTTTAATTTAAATGTGTACTCGCGTAAACTACAGACAGAAACCAATGCCCCGAAATTCTATATTATTTTAGACTCTGCATCAACAAATTAAACACACAAATATTATGTCTGTACCGTTTCCACATAGGGTACAATCTTTACTAATATTACACGGATGAAGTATGTCAGAACGCGCAAATTTCAGGAACTACTGGTTCGAATTGAAATTTATTTTGGTTAGGGCATCTATCGAGGAAGGGTATACCATCAAGATGCGACGAAAGCAAATAAATAACTTTGGATGCCTAAAATAACTGTTCTACGCGGACGAAGTCGCCGACACAGCTAGTTACTCATATTTGAGGGTTGCGTGCGCTGCGATCGGTCCAAGACACCAAAAAAATATTTATATATAGTTTTCTGAAATGGTCTAATGGCTAATGATCCATGTGGGTTCGGTACCCACCGAGTTCAACTATTCTAATTTTTTATTTTTCTGAAACATGCTGGACTTTGTCTGAAAATCTGGATACTTAGTGGGTGGTAGGAATATAGACAGTCCTTCCGGGTCACGAACCACCGTCTACAGATAAAAAAGTCGTTAAGCCTAATCGCGTTGCGGTTTCAGTCTGTAGATTTCCGAATATCCGAAGCCGAAATAGGACAGCGTATCCTGTCCTCCTCTATCATTAAAAAAATATATTTCAGCATAAAATTTAAACACAGTTATTACTGACTTCTGTTCTGTTTTTGCATAATAGATGGCGAGGTGCAAATCGTCACAAATCGTCGCCACTCATATAATCTATACTAATATGAATGCTGAAGAGTTTGTTTGTTTAATGTAAAGAACTACTAGTGTGATTTTTTTTATAGACACTTTATCGAGGAAGGCTTTACGCTATATAACATTACGTGATATAGACGATAAGGAACAGTGGAAAACGTGGAAAACCAAGGAAAATTGTTCAAACTTTAATGCTCCTATTGTGTAAGAATTCCTATTAAATTATCTAAAAAAATTCCACGACTGTTTTTTAAGAGTAACTCGCAAGAACCGTTTTTACATTTATTATATTACGACCAATTACGTTTTTACATTTATTATATTACGACCAATTACGTTTTTACATTTATTATATTACGACCAATTACCTTTTTACATTGATTATTTTACGACCAATTTTGGTCGATGGTCGTGGGGATCCACTGCGTCCAACATGTTTCTAATTAACTTATATTTTTTCTGAAATATAAGGGACCTTGTCTGGAAGATATCATGAGTTTTAATCGCGTTTTCGCTTACGTGGATTTGTGTTCTAAGACGACAGCGCATTTAACTTAGATGGCTGCTATTTTATATCCTAAAACTAGAGCCATTCGTGAAATAATACATGCTAAATCCCAGAGATAATTTTATCTAAAAACAAAAAAATACTGTAGGTATGTGATTTGTGAAAATTATACGCACAAAGCGGGAGGGAACCACTAGCATGTGATGCAGAATAATCGGCTTTGAATGGACTAATCGACAATTTTCTGCTCAGATTAACTTGACCTCTTTACTTGATGCATTTTTATTATAAAACGCTATATTATATATATCGAACGTGTTGCCTAGCATTACGACCTGGGTTTGAACCCACGGGAAACAATCGATAGTCTGTAATTCACGCGAGTAGTATACATTAACTAAAATACAACGGTTTAAAACGCGTCATAGTTAGTAGAAACGTCGGGCCGTAGTTCAAATAATTTGTAAAACACTGATCAGTGAAACGGGCACAGAAATATGTTCGCCACATGCCCCACGAGGGGAAACAGAGTTCCACTTGTGGGACATATGTATGAACATAATAACAATGCGCTGTTGCCCTATTATTAGTTGTATACGTTACTTTCCTTTTGCATATTTTCCTTGTAGAAAACAAGTATCAACTTAAAGAAACTTAAAAGGTAAACGGTTTTATTTTTTGTGCACTGACAACTACGAAAAAATATGTGATCCGCCATTTTGTATCGGCGGCCATCTTGTATTGGGTGTGCGTACCAAATTAAAAAAAAAAATTAAGAACCTAAAACAATAATTATACTAGGAAAGCTTTTAAATTATTATTTTTAGCGATTCTATTTTTTTTTATTTTAATGGGTTTTTATTATTATTAATTTAAGTTTATGTTGTTCAGTTTAAGTAATATTAGGAAATTAGTAAGTTCGCACTTCCTGCACACTGTATAATGTATGAGGATGTGTCACAAGTGGTACCACGAGGAGTGCGTGGGTTTGTCAGAGGATGATTTTGAGTCGTCGATGATGTTGAGTGTCCAGATTGTTCCTAATTTAAAAAATAATGTTATTTTTAAGCCTTTACTGTGTGATTATCGCATTACAATATTTTATTGATCTCAAATACTAAATATAAGAAGTTTATTTCGTTTATTTTTGAAGTTTAAAGTCTTAGGCCTTATTATACTACCATAGTTTAATAAGGCCTAAGTACAGTGTTTTTTAAAAGCAGTAATTAAAACTATAATTATAGCATAGGTTGCTGTTTTCCGTTTTTATTTGATAGTTATTAATATAAAAGTTTAAATTACATTAAAATTTGTTGATTTGTTTTAAAAGTTTTTGATTTAATTCAATTCCTGCTTAGCTAGGCCTTATTCGCCGCACCTACCTTAATTTTTAATTAATCGTTAAGTCTCTTTCTACTCGGGTTGCCTGGAAGAGATCGCTTATAGCGATAAAGCCGCCAGGTACACTCTATAGTTTTAAATTGCATAGTCTCTGTATATTTTGTTTGGTGTACCTAACTGTGAAATAAATAATATTACTACTGAAAATTACAAATACAAAAAATGTTTTGAAATATCATTAAAATTGGTTAAAAAGCGCAAAAAACAAGGTTTAGCAAAGAAATAAAAAAAAGTGTTGCCTGTAGTACCGTGAGCTGTACACATTTAAAATATAAAAAAAAAACATATCGTATTTTTGGTATAATCACATTGCATAGTCTTGTACTGTTAAGGTAGTGTAAAAATTAAATAAACAAACCGAATTATTATGCTGCACTTATACAAAAAATCTTTTTAAAGAATTAAAAATAACTGAAAACAAATAAAAAATATAGTTAACATGCAAGCATTACACAGAATTGGTATCACTGAAGAAGTCTTTGCAAATAACTAAATTTAATTATATCTATAGTTAAGGCTACATTAAATAAAACAAAATTTTAACGGTAAAAAACATCTCACAGAGGGAAAAGAAATACCAGAAAATAAAAATAGTAACGTTAAGTATTGTCTGTAGTTTACACGATGATAACACATTTAAACAAAACACTTTTAACGGTTTAAAACCGAAAATAATGAATAATAAATCGAATAAATTTCACGTTTAAAACCGTTATTAATTATTTTTTTTTAATAGTCACTTTTTGAAACGCGAACTATAAGTAATTAAGTAAAATTTCACAATATATATTTTAACTATGACCACAGCTGGAAAATCCGAAACGTCGGGTCGCAGGTAAAATTAATGAATAAAAAGGTATCTTATATATTTCGCGTTTAAAACCGTTACAAGTATGATAATTAAATATGTTTTACTCGCGTAAACTACAGACTGTACATTACAGTCATTAAAATTAACCCAATAAATCGTCTTTTAAACGGTCCAAATTGTTTTATTTAACACACTCTACTTTTTGAACGGTCCTACTTAGGCTACAATAATAATAACAATTTTTAACGGTTAAAAAACATCTCCACGGGGGAGAAGAAATACTAAAAACGAAAAAAAAAATAGTATCGTTTAAAAACTTCTATAATAATTTTTCACTACGCGACTGTGACCACAGCCAAAAAATCGGATCAAAGTTCCAATTAAACCAAAGAATCTTGTTTTAAACCGTTAAAAATAGTTTTATACAACTCACTAGACTTCTCCAGCGTTTCAAGCAAGCAAGCGGACATGCACACACTAACGTTACCTGTACGTCCAGGCCACGTCTCTCGAGAGACCAGCGGATGTTAGTAGGATGTACGCGAAACTAAACCCAGCCGATATCCCAATCACCAAGGTTAAAAAAAAGCGACGACCCATCACTCGCCCCTCCGCCTGGACAGTTGCAATAGACATCGCGTTCCAAATTCAAAGACAACCATAAACAATTTGTTTGTTTTATTTATTTTTTATCAACGACCAACGTGTGTTCACGAAACGAGCATAGCGTTGTATGAATTTAACATTTGCAAGTAACAATGAAGTTATGAGATTTATCTCGTACATTTTATAAACATATTTAATAAGTCATTAGTTAAGCGACGCACGCGCACTTTTAAAGTTGCTTTTGTTCAACTAGGACTCGAGTCTGTCACAGTTATCAATATGTGCGTTTACACCCACGATTTTAAAATAAAATGAACGTTGCTTCGGCGCAATCACGCGGTCACATATGTTATCGGCGCGGGCGCATTATCGCATCTTCCCGACATAATAGCCTCGGCTGGCATATTCAACTGATCATATGAAAGAATAACATTACAATAAAAATCATATCACTATGAACCCTACAGTTGTCCCACAGCTGGGCACAATGTGTTTAAGGGCGAAAACCCACCACGCTACTAAATTAGTAAGTATAACCGGACGAATTTTCCGAGGAATTATAGCACCTACTTCCAAACTCTTAGCTAGTAACTGGAAATTTTCTTACGATTCAAATAGCGAAGCAACATGTTGCTCGAACCAGGTTTCGAACTCTGGATATCGTTCCGTATCGATAGTCATGGCGACTATTTTGACTAATATGAATTGCGACAATACTATTTCAAATTTGGAACGTCGTTATTTATAATTGAAAAGATCATATTATTTATTTAAAATTGGAGTATCGACATTCCATATTCAAATATATAATATGAGGCGGCGAGAGATAGAGTAGCCTAACTGCAATTTTATGAATTGACTTATTTATATTTTAGTACCACAAAAATGTTAATTTACAAGAGCACTGTGACCGAAAATTGTTAATTCTAATGCAAATAATAGTACAAATTCATTGTTGCTTAAGTTAATTACTCAGATTTATTAATCCCCTTATTGAAAATCATATATTATTTATTAGGCCACTCTGCCTCTAGCAGTCTTATATGTACCTAATTAACAATTGAACAATTTGTTTTTTTATTAAAACATTTTTGTTACGAAAAAGGCAGCAAATTAGCGTCTGAAAACATGACAAGCATGTAATGTTATCAATCTGAACAAATTAATTCGCTTTACATTTAAAGAGCAGCAAATTACACGTTTTATTACTGTTATCGAAGCTTTACATCGTTACTTTACAAATTGGATTGAATCCTATGGGAACGCTCTGGAAAAACTTACATGTACTCAACTCCGCCTAAACTAAAATTACAAACATTATCTGCAGTTAATACTAATGGCAAAATAGTAAAAATCAGTTTTAACATGAAATATATTAATTTACTTTCGAAACTAAGGCCCGAATTAATTAAATATCATAACGAAAATTGGCGCAATCTCCATTTTTAATATGAAAATAAAAAAAAAACCTCTTTTCGTTCAGTGTCCCTAATCACGCATTTCTAACCAGTGTTGACTATTTGAGCTTTTTCCGAAAGGGGTGATATTCGTGATAAGGAGGTCAAAATACATAAGTATACCAAATTTCAGATCGATTAGCGGTATGCGCTTTTCGGAAGTACACCCAATGGTTGTAAAGGGCTTTAATATTTACTTACTTTTAACAATTACCATTAATAGACAATTTTATACAATTCTTTCAATATCGATATTAAAATGGGCCTTTGCGAGATGCCCTATAAAATTAAAATAATAACTTCGTTCCGTGAACACACTCACATGTTTTTGTCTCATTTGGAAAGATATACAACTGCGCTCAACCACAACTTTGACTGTTAATCACAATACAAATAGACAGACACGGCATATAATAGGATTGTTTGTTTGCAATTATTGTTTATTTGTTTATAAGTGTTATGAATAGTGACACATGCCTTAAACATTTAGGTGGTGTGTTATTTGACGGTTAGATGAGAAACTTCCTAATATTTCTCATATGGATTTGAACTCCATGTTATGTGCAAGTATTGTGTAACAAACAATAAAAAGTATTCAGAAATGCCAATTAGTGCTAACAATACAGTTTAACATTCTTATCACGTTTTCAAAGTAAATAGAGTTAGGAGAAATCAACTAAGAATTAGTAACGCTTGTACTATTAATTTAGTATCAATTGATATTTGGACTGTTTAAAAACTTACCTAATAGCGTTAGTATTATATTGTTTATCATAAATGATTTTCAATCATTTTCTTTTCAAAGGCAGGAAACAAATACCAATTATAGAATATTAATACGTATTAATTAACAATAATTGCAAAAAATGTTAATAGCTTAAATAAATAACGAATTAAATTTAAAAGTTAGTCGCCAGTCTACAGTATAATGTTATTTATGAGAACAGTGTTATATTAAATCAAATTCATGATGTAGAGATTGTAAACACTTGGGGCTATTCACAAACTAATATAGTTCGATCCATATTAGACACTTTTTCAATTTGAAAGGTTTAAATTTAAAACGCACTGTACTTACAGTCATGGTTCTTCTCAATTCGAAGGTATCCAGTCTTTCATTCTTATAATGTATTTATAGAGACGACATTTTAGGATGCTAGTTATCTATTTCTTTAAATTAACCATAATTTAATATTAATACGAACTAGTTCAATACTATCATAGTACTACAACGTACATTTAAAATTGATTTTGGAATTGGAATTTGGAAATAACAATAAAACATAAGTGTTGCCAAGAGGTAATTTTAATATCGCTACAATTAGCAATCTGATTTAATTAAAAAAACTGATAATAGGTAAAAAAACAATTTGAAACATACTTTTGCCGTAGAACAAACTTTTTTTATGTTTAAAAGCGTTTGAGTTGTCAATAAATGTGTTTGTCATGATATTGTTTATTTTTTTAGTAATTTAGCCGTATATTTTAAGTGTATCCCAAAAGAGAGCAAAAGTGTTTAATAATGGCAGCACTTGTAGTGGTGAATTGTCATAGGCCATATGTCATGTAGCGCATGACAATTTACTTAGCAGAATATTTATCAATTTTGTTACTAAACGTCAGTCGCCATATTGGCGTTCTGCAAATCGTGTTATTTTGTTATGTGAAATTTCCCCTCGTAGTAAATAGTGTCTCCGTTGTTTTAGAATGTTATTTTTCGTTTCACCGAAATTAGTTTTTATTTAAAATACATCAGATGTGTAATATGAAAGACCTAGAAAAGACGTCTATCATTGTTTATACGTGGTAAAACAACAACCATGGAAGGAAGGGTGTATTTTGTGTTATTTTGTTTATTTCAGTGTATATCTGCTTTCGAACAACATTTTCAGTTTTGCACGAATAATACGAAAGTACGGAGCTGCACACCCCAGGTGAGTTCGACCTGAAAATTCCCGGGACCCTCGAAGTAATTATTGATTTATTGATTAATTACTGACCTTGAACTAACAGACGATGATATATATAGTCAGTCTAGCCGCAATTCGCCGTATTAGGAGCTAAATTGTTATTATTCCACTGACAAGATCTGTCTATTATAAAGATAATAATATCTTCGTTGATCTCGACAGCCGACTCGAAAAGATCGTGGGTTTGATCCCCACAGCTCCATCATGGTTATAAAATTATTTTAGATTTTTTGTTATGGATATAAATTGAATTAAAATCCAAAGCCGAAATTGGCCTACGGAGCAAGACTCTTGCTTTATATATTATATGTCTACAGGTATTTCACATCCTCTACCATAAAAAAATATAGGAGGTAAAAATTCTAACAATAAAACGAGAAGAGAAAACTACCGGAGATATAAAAACATATGACGACCATAAAATTGCTTTGCTGCAATTATAAAACAGGTCTTTAGTTTATCCATCCAACAACTAGTTCTAAAGCTTATCGTTACTCGTACATTAAAAAAAAAATCATTTACGCCTGCTAACAACAAAGGGAATCAATATTGTTATATTGTCCTAACTATTACTATCTATGTTTTAGATTCTCGGTGAAGATAACTCTGATGATGATACGTGTAAAGTAGAGGTGATACCGCCGAATAGTTCAGATTGTGTGGACAGCTTTGGCCCAATTGAAAATAATGCTCATATAGGTGGCGTCAGCTTACGGCCCTATATATTGCCTGTGGAACATAGAGATAATACTGAATTTTACTCTGTTAATTACACAGTACTGAATATTACGTTTAGCAATATAAAATGGAAAAGTAAGTACCAATAGAATTGTATTCAAACACACCGCTTTGATTTTTAACTCTTGAAAAATAGTTCTACACATTTTCCTCAATGATAGCATTTAAAAGAGATCCATTAGAACTTAAAATAACAAAGAGATCCAAAAAATATATATCAAAGAATTATTTTTCATTAAGTGATCTAATAAAATGTCCAGGACAGTAAAAGTCTTTCAAGATTTACTTGAAAGAAGAACGAGACACATGATGGGTAACACTTAATAGCTAGAATCTATGAAGTTGAGTAGGAGAGTTGTAAAAACAAATTTTGAAGCCGAAAATATCTATTCTACATGGACTAAGTCCCTGACATAGCTAGTTATAAGTTAGTACTCCCAATGTATTGGGTCTAAGCTCTTCTCGAAAAGGAAGCAGCACCAGGATACTAACAGTTTTCATATAGTTATACAGTACTGTTGAAATTCCCATTTGATTCTAAGCTCTTCTGCAATAGAAGACTAACAACAAGATAATAATACTTTATGCATCTTTACAGCCATGAAGTTCCGCTTCCAAAAATACAAGAACATGGAGAGCCACTGCAGAAACATAGTCATATCTAACGATGTCACCATCAACGACCAGTCTGTGCTGTATTATGACTGTTACTGGTCACTAACCGATGGTAACTACAATGGCCAGAGTCATATCTTGGATTTTGAAGCGACAGATGACTTTGTCGTGAACAGGGGGAGATATTACTTCAATATTCCATCGGCTCAGATGCTCAGTGAGTATATACTATTTATATGATTTGAGGATCGAATTTAGATGGAATATGGTAATTTTTTCGATCTAAAATCGATTTTAATTTATATTATAGTGGTGTGTAAAAATATTAATGTTTTCAAGTACTTATTTTATTTTTAATGGGTGGTAGGAATCATAATTCCGCCGAAAAGCCGTGAAGTTTAATCCGAGTTAGTAATTTCCGAATATTTAAATCCAAAATAGGTCGATAGCGCAACCTGTTTGATTGCTATGCGTGGGGTACTTCGTCTTTCATCAAGTGAACCCTTTGCTTGTCTGTCCTTTATTATTATTATTTATTACTTAAATAAGAAAATATCCAAACTGACATGACAAATAAATAGTAGAGAATACTTCGACCTACTGAGTATGCATTTAAAATTTCATCAAAATTGGTCAAGCCATTTCAGAGGTAACCAACAGCGTGCCATGAGCACTCTATATATTTTGTTTATCAATAATATGGCTATAAACAGATAGCAATCTGTTTTTGTTGTTAAGAAAGGTCACGCAGATAAGCTAAAATTTATTTAATGAACATCCCAATTGCAATTATATGAGGAAATTGTAGAGACAATAATAATTTTATTATTTATCTATTGTATAATAATATACCTTACATAATTTGAACTTAAGAAATAAGGATAACATATGTAATACTAGCTATCCCCAAATATAGGCTCCATAAAATATCTAATTCATTGTTATCAATAAACAAATTCAAAGTCATAAAATTTTGATTGTCTCAAAAGGCGTATTATTGTTTAAAAGACTAAATATTTTTTTAATTTTATAAAGAATAAAGTTTATTTTATTTTACTAAAGTAACTTATTTAGGTAAAACAGTACCAAATTATACCTAGATACAGTCATCAAACTTATCCATCATTATATTCTTCCAGGCCCGACTATAAGCGAAAAGGACTGGAAGCCATTTGTATACATTGAGATATTGACAACTACGATGAACCTGCACATAATGCCACCACCATCACAATTAAGGATCACAGCTTATCAAATCGAGGTGATGAAGGAGTGCGACTACAAGAGCCAATGCGAGGAGCTGGTGAAGACAGCCATAGTCAAAGTGAAGAACGGCACCAGGGAAGTGACTTTCAACTACAGCTTGTTGAATTCCCCGGGGTCCTACTATTTTGTGGTGACTCCTCAGCATGAGAAGTGCAAGGGTTCAGTCATGGAATGCCAGTCTGTGGAGAGTCCAAGGATCACGATAAGTAAGTCGAAGTCCATATGTTTATGAATAACTCAGGAGGGTAGTTCGATTAGCCTGGTTCAAAAACTGGTTTAATTTCATTTCATGATATTCGTTGCTATTCTATATTTCAAGTTCAAAAAGAACATATTTACGGAGTTCACATAAGATTAGTATTGAAATATTTATAATATTGTTATTTTAAACTACTTAAATGAATTTGTATGTCTCTACTTATGTTAAATCAAACACTCACAGTTTAAAACGCGTAACATTAAATTTATTTTTAATCGAACGTCGGGTCGTTATTAAAAAAATAGTTTACATGCATATTATTCAATGTACGAATGTCGCCTAAACTACTGATTCACCATTACAGTTTAAAATTACATCAAAATCGTTCAAGCCGTTTATGCCTGAAAGATTACCATACACATAACTCGGGGTTTTGGTCTATTTTGTGTATGACACAGGGTATTACTTGATAAAGTAAACACCCCAGCTATTTAACAATAACAAAATGTGCTGCTGCCTTTTTTAGCGTGATTTCAGTACAAATAAGGATGTTTCACATTATTCTTAAGTGTTACCATAAACGACACGACGATTATTAGCATCTTTGAACTATATATGTAGTCTAATTATGATACATACAACATACTATATGTCACGTTTAAGATAAGGCAGTGAGAGTCATACTTGTTATTCACAGTACAACGTACCTACAATAATTATTATGATAATAGATAAAAAATACTACTTTGTTTTATAGAAAAAACCTCGCATTGTTGTCAAACAGGTATATCAACTAAGCTGTAGGTAGAATATTAATAAAATAATAAGTAATCTATATCTATACTAATAATATAAATGTGAAAGTAACTCTGTCTGTCTGTCTGTCCGGCTTTAACTCCGGAACTACCGAACTGATTAAAATGTGGTACACAGATATTTTTCAGCCTGAGAAAGGACATAGGCCTTTTAATGCCAAAAAAGGGTTGATAGGGGTTGAAAAAGGGGATGAAAGTTTGTATGTATATGTGGTTTTTGAAGCTAGAACAATGAAACTTTTTTAGCTTTTTGGGAATAGGAGTTGGAGTGGGAGTGGGTGTAGGAATGAGAGCGGGAGTTAGAGTAGGAGTGATGTGAGGTGAGAGTGTTGCGGCAAAGTGGCTCTTACAACATGGATTGGCTGCCTTAAATGCGCGTTACATAAATTTATAAACAGGCTTAATAATTACAAATTCTATCCTATCTATCTATCTATATATATGAAAGTCACTATTCCACTCGGACGAAGTCGCGGGCACAGCTAGTTATATATAAATAAAACAAGCAAATTTTTCTATCTATACTGATATATAAAGCTGAAGAGTTTGTTTGTTTGAACGCGCTAATATCAGAAACTACTTCTACGATTTTTTTTGTGTTAGTTAAAGCATTTTTCGAATAAGGCTAAGAAACATCGCGATGCGACTTTTAGCAGCGGGAAATGTGAAAACAACGTGGAAAATTATTCATCCTTATGGGTTTTCGTTGCGTACGCTACGAAAACGGTTCGAGGTATCCAAAAAATATGTATGTCTATCTTATAAGATTTAATGGCAAGGACGACGAGACGTGGTTAACGTCGTGGGCAACAGCTGTAGTTTATAAAGACAAGAAGGAGGTTTGCAAAAACAAATTTTGATGCCTAAAATAACTATTCCACGCGGACGAAGTCGTTGACACAGCTAGTTTATAATATATTTAAAACTACGGCCCGACGTTTCGTTAGCAGATTTGACTTTGAAATGTTTCAGCTAAAATATTTCGGGTTTTAAACCGTTAAAAATGTTTTATTTAAATGTGTACTACTCGCGTAAACTATAGACAATGCGTAGAATTTTTTTTCATATTTTTCCGACTTATACTGGGTTTGTCAATGATAATATTTAAATAAAGCAGTTTTAATGGTTCAAAATTAGAATTATAACAATTCATGGGCCCTCGTTACCACGGCTACTGCCAAGCATCCGAGATGTCACTTAAATTAGTAATTTAATATACTACGCGTTTTAAACTGTTAAAAATGTTGTAATAAAACTAGAAGTCTACTTAATGTCCTCCTCGACCACTGTTTGAACACGGTAGGACGTTTGTGCACGCAGCTAAAAAAAGAATAAAGTACTGATATATTTCGCGTTTTAATCCGTTATAAATGTTTCATTTACATTTGACTACAATACTTAAATATTTCAGACAGCGAAGTCCACCAGGCGATGAACATATGTATAGCCAGCATCACAGCTCTTATCTTGGCCACGCTGTTCTTGTACTATATCGTGCTGCGCGGTATCCGGCGATATTGGTGCAAGGAGTATGGACAAGGTAACCTCGATCAAGCAAGTGACGTCATAATTGTTTAAATTTAGAAGATAAACTAGCATGGGATTTCTGGTGACATACAGCTCGTATAACATCTAAACAAGATGCGCAGGCGCCTATGCAGGCTTTGGATATTCGATAATCCACAGACTGAAACCGAAATGCGATTAAACGCCGCGGCTTTTTCATTTGTCTTTCATTAATTAAAAACGTGTTGAACTGGTGGGGGCTAAAACCCACAATCCGTTGATTAGTCATAAATTGCTGACTGATGACGTCATCCACTCATAATGGCAAAACGTCCGAAAATATTTCTCAATTACGCCAATTTTACCAAAACTAAATGGTCGCGAAAGCCTAGTTAGCCTAGTAGAAATTTAATAAAATTTCAACGGTTTAAAATGCGAAATTTATTTTTAAATTTGTCTCAAACCCTCAAAAGTGTCTCATTTAAATGTCCACTACTCGCTTTAACTACAAATATCCAATGTTTAAATCAGTGATATTTTCCAGAAATCCCACCACCAACGAAGGTGCTGGTGATCTACCCAACAGCGAACAGGTTACACGCAGAATGCGTCGCCTCGTTCGTTGCCTACCTGCGCTCCGAATATGGCTTCGATATCATGTACGACGGAGACATCTCCACCACGGCTCATGGGGACCCCTACCTCTGGGCGGAAGAGGCCTTCAAACTCACGTCCCACGTCGTCTATGTGGTGGGACCGGCCGAAGACACCAACGCCTACAACAACATATACGACAAACCAATAATAACCGCCCATAAGGTGGACACCCTTCTTCTGTCCCTGGTGCGTGCGTCAAAAACGACGAAACACAAAAAGGACGTCACGAACGTCTTCTTCGACCACTCTGACGGGGAGGTGCCGGTGGAAACGCGACACGACAAGTCCTTCTACCTACTGAAAGATTGGCAGAAGTTCATCGCTTATCTGTCGAGGAACCTGCTCCCGCGCAGGCAGTTGCTGAGGACGGAAAGGGGGAAGTGTTTCCTGGACGATTTGTCCCGGGCGAAGAAGCTGCTGAGCAACGGCCGGTATGAAGGTATCAAGTTTGACAAGAGCGTGGACAAGAAAGTCGTGCTGTGAAGTGTTCTTGATAGGTTAGAGGAGATTATTTACAATGGATGCTAAGGGTAAGAGTACGCTGGATAGGCGTTAAAGAAATGATACGGTAGGGGCCATCCATGGATTACGTCACGCGCCTCCCCCCCCACTTTTAAGGTCGAATTAGAAACTGACGAATTACGGCTAACGTGATGTGATGCATTAGATTTTAATTGTATGTAATAATATTCTGATATATTAAATTCCCCCTTTAAAGGGGGAGAGATAACGACGCCAGGCGAGTTTAAGCCTTGTTTACTTTTTTAATTTTACTAGTTCAATTTCAAATATGGCAGATTGACTATTAGTCAACTGTCTTCGATTTCAGATTCTTTAATAAGACAACTTGACTCCATTAATACGCTTCTTCTTCTGTTTTTTTTTTTCAAGTTTAGACATTATGTACGTGTCGTGTATATCTGGACACTAGCTGACGCATCACGTCACGTCAGACTAAATTCGACTTCTCTATTGCAAAGAATAGGAACGCTATATGCTAAGATATTATGATGTGGATATTATGTGACGTCACTCTTATCGACTGTGATTACCTGTGGGGGGGGGGGTTGAAGTAATTGTTTGGTGGCTCCATATGTTTTAATTGTTGTTACTTGAATCTATAAGTCTCACATACTAATGCACAGAGCTTAAATGAATTCAAAACTATTTCTAGCTTTGGAAAATAGGACGAAACATTGTCCCGCTTATCTCTTGAATCTATTCTTTCGACTCTGGCGCATTGGATTTTTGTATATCAACACTGTTTCAATTCGTATAATCGTTATTAAATTAGTTTTACATATAACGAGAACGTTTGTCTTGAAGATGCGCAGGATTCGATTATGGGTTTATTTGGTTCCAATCAAACACTTGATGGTTTTAAAAGCGAAATAAATAAGTTTACCTAATATATAGACTGAAGATCGGGGTGTTCCCCCCTCCTTGGCTGCTGCAAAGCTCGGGTTGTAGTTAAGCATAAGTATAACTAATATATTTCACTTTTAAAACCATTTAGAAGTGTTTTATAGTAATAATTGAATAATTACTTCTGATTTTAATCTATTCTTTGTCTACATTTAAATATTCTATTTTAGATTAAAATACTTACGACACAGGCAAGACCTGAATCTGCATGCACAGCGTTCCGTGCTGTTGCTCTAACCAATTTAGCTACGAATCAAGTTATATTCAAGTCAACTGGTTACAGCAACACGTCCGTGTCGTAAATTTTTTCTGTTGTTTGTCTGTTGAGTGAAACATATAATTGCTGATAGAAAGAGATAGAAGATACGTTCTATATAAATTTCTTTCTAATCAAATGTTGCATAACTAACAGACACTGCGTGTATTTTTGTGACTATATATAAATGTTATCTCAGTACCTAAATAGGCAACAGCCCTGTTCCACCAAGATAAGTAATATCGATTAAATTTTAACGGCCGTTAACGTAATCTTGGTGGCAACTCCTGATTAACGGTCTGTCAAATTCGATCAATGTTATTTTCTGGTGAAACGGGGTCGTAAAACTAACTAATAAGACTTTTGTATATATGCCCGTTTCCATTCCCTATTATTTCATTTCTCTGTTAGATTAACGGCGGATGGGGGGGAGGGGTTGGTGGTGCCCAGGATCCCCCCTTAGAAGTATTTATTATGTGTGAAGTTCTTCAAATGTACAATAAGGAGTAAATATTTCTACTTTTACTTTAGTCTACTGTTATCAAAATTAGATTATAAGTTCTTGACTTGACCATAACTAATCCCCCCCCCCCCCGCGCCAAAGCTTGATCCTCCCCTGGTTATTGGATGTTATCATCATTATTGTATCTTAAAAATAATAAGTTAAGCGAAGGTTTCTCAACGCAATTATAATATTTGAAATTGTAAGTTAATATATTAATTAATTATTATTTTTCTTAAATAGTTAATTCATACAGACGTTCTACGATGTGTGCCATAGTTTTAAGTGGCAAATTTTGCTTCTAACAATAACTGTTGTAAGGCCAACGTAACGATACAATCAAGTCAGGGGTTCAAAACATTTTAATTTTGTCGAATTCCTAGTCGTTTGCTTAGTGAGGACCAAGTGTTGGCAGTCGCTGCACTTACTAACTGACGTTGACATCGAGGCTACTGCGATCGGCGAAATATATTAGTTATTGTCCCCTAGTGACCACGGCTGCTGCAGAGCATCCGAAACGTCGGCCCGTAGTTAAAATACTTTTTAAAGAAGAATATATTTCGCGTTTTAAACCGTTAGTCTTTTACAGTTATTGCGCAGTGAACATTAGTCGGTAGTGTGGCCCCAGCATAAGTAACGGTCCGTCTCGTTCCGCTGGCCCTTACGTGACCGCCATTTTGTCCACACATCAATTTGAAAATGCACTATTTTTATTAGACACACTTTTATGCGGCACGGATGTTTAGCGCTAATCGAAGTGTAGACGGGATAGTTTGTAATCGCGCACGTAATTGATTGAACGTGACTGTACTCGAGGAGCAAGCGGAGCGTTGTATTGGTCCGAGAGAGACAACACGACTGGGGAACCAATCAACGCTAGCGCACATGACGCTCACTCGCTCCGCGCCCGCTTCCGTCCCTTCGATACCTTATTGTTGACTTCGCAGGATTCGTTCAGCGCTAAAGACCCGTGCCGCTACTTGTAACGAGTATTTATTGATGTCGTTCGGAAATTTTCTTGTTGATCTCAAAGCAAATGTTGAAGTAAACGTGTTCTCTTGTTATACGGGATTTTAAAGCTCAATATATTATACTTGTGATGTATTTTTATAATAAAGGTTATTAAAGATGTCGTATTATTTGAAACTGCTATTTTTCTATGAGTTCGGGGTTTCACCAACCAAAAATCGATCTTGAACCGTTTACGCATCGCACGCATCGGAAACCCCTCAAAGATGGATAACTTCCCCGATTTTTGACATTTTCCACTATTTCCTCACTGGTATTCATCGCAGCCTGATATTTTATAGCCTTCCTCGACAGTGGCGTAGCTATCGTAGGACCAGGTAGTGCAGTGCACTAGGGCTCCGGAACTTAGGGAACCTTATCTTTGAGAAGATATAAGCGTAGAAGAAAAGGATTTTTTAACGTTCTTGTTGCTATAACAATTTTGGATGTTCATTTAATTCAAGCTATGCTAAATGCAAATGGGATGAGGACCCGATTCTATCTTGAGCCTTAGGATTAGGTAGACCGGGGCTCTGGTCCACCTAGCTGCGCTCCCTTGATAAATGGTCTAACCAACACAAAAAGATTTTTTTCAAATCGAACCAGTAGTTCCTGAGCAAGTTAAAACAAACCAAACTCTTTATATTAGTACTAGCTGTGCCCGCGACTTCGATCGCGTGGAAAGTGACTTGGGGTAGAATTTTTAACTATTTAGGCTGTTTATTAATTTATGTAATTGCGCAATTATACTACTTTGCCGCAACACTCTCACCCCACATCACTTCTACTCAAACTCCCACTCTCTTTCCTCCCCCCCCCCCCCCACTCTTATTTCAAAAAAAGAAAGTTTCATGTTCACTTTCAAAAACCACGAATTTCCATACAAACTTTCACCCCCCCCCTTTTTAACCACCTATGTCGAGTAAGGCTTTCACGGCCCCCCCTCCCCCCTTTTTTCTCTCCCCCCCCCCCCCCCCCGCGGGGCCCCCCCCCCCCCCTCCCCCCCCCCTCCCCGGGCCGTCGGCCCCTCCTTTTTTCCTCCCCCCCTCTCTCCCCCCCCCTCTTCCCACCCGCCGGCCTCCCCCCCCCCCCCCCCCTCCCCCCCCCCCGGTGGGCGCCGGCGCGCGCCGCGGCCCGCCCCCCCGACAGCCCCTACAATAATTGCGAATACCTATGTCCTTTCTCAGGGTCTAAAGCACCTGTGTACCAAATTTCATTCAAATCCGTTCAGTAGTTTTGGCGTGAAAGAGTAACAGACAGACAGAGTTACTTTCGCATTTATAATATTAGTAAGGATAGTTGTAAAGAATAAGGAAAACACATCAAGACAAGAATCATTGGTTTATTTATCACCCATACAATTTTTCTAATTTATACTAATATAATTAAAAACAATTATTTACATCCTTAATTCACAACTCGTGTCTAGGAAAAAGAAAAAGTTGGCATTTTATCTAACGCCTATCTATTCACCATCACCAAGCTGTGGGCTGTGAGTTCGAGTCCCGGGTAAAAACGATTTTTTTTGTAAATAGTTTTTCAGTGAATATTGTAGTAAGTGCGTAAGAAAATAATAATTTATTTAACCTAAGTATTTCAAAAAATATAGCTTTACTACAGAACAGTTGAGCATAGTTAGAATTTTTATATATATGCGACTTATTTGAAAATTATTTTAAATATATATCGCGGTTTTAACCGTTAAAGTGTTTTATTTAAATGTGTACTACTCGCGTAAAATATGGCCGATGTAACTTGGCAGCTCTGAAAAGGTTAGACTAACTTTGGCGCATGTACACTCGTAAAGAAAACTAATACTGCCATTTATTTTCGTTACTGGGATAAATGAAAAATTTTACCTATAGCAAGCGGAAGTAACATAAATTCAAGGAAATTGGTATGGGCTACGAACACTTATCTTTCACTAAAATACAGAGACAAAACAAAAATATAACAAAAGATAAATAATAATATTAAATTTAACAATAAACAATCACTTTTCTAACGGACTGCGCTCAAGACAGAGATAACGAAATTAACACCAAGGATTGACCGAGACGCACTACTGTTTACCGAACATTACCGAATATGTACGAAGCTTTACGAAAGAACCAAATAGAGATGTCCATACGCGATCCTTGAGAGTATCGTTTAATCGATTCCTATTAAAATTGAGAAAATTAGCTAATAAAATTATACACTCGTATAGAAAACGAATACTGCATTTATTTTCGATACTGGGACAAATGAAAGATTTTACATATAGTAAAATACCACTAATTGATTCAAACCAAATAGAGATACGTGATCCTTGTGAGTGTCGTTTAATATTCCTATTGAAATAGACAAAATAGGATCGTAGAAATATAATTTTATAAAAAGCCCTAAAGAAGGTATAAATAGTAATTATATAAATAATTACTCATATTTAACTAAATCAGGTAGTTCAATAATATAAAAAGTTTTTAATGATTTTATTTTCCTTTAAAGGTAATCATGGTATTGTTTATTAACAACACTATTCACTGTGTTCATCAATCCATTTAGTACAATATCTCATACGATTTAAAATCCACAATCTAAATCGATAAAAATCGATTACAAAATTTGATAGAATAAGCGGTCGATTGAGTTGACACTAAGTCAATCACTAGCCTAGATCTTCGTCCCGCGCCCCTCGCTCTTACCACCGTTAACATCCTAAAGAACGTTTCTGCGCAGCGTCTCGCGCTTAGATCAGGCCTGCCAAGTTACAACGGCCGTACAGTAAACTACAGACAGTAGATATAATTTTATCATATTTCTCTATAAATAGCTAATTGAATTATGTTTAGTTATAAGCAGTAAGGCAGACAGACATAAGCTTATCTATCATCTATATATAATCAGTTTTAACACACAATAACATTGAAGTTGCGTTCACGCTGATTACGTTATAGTCCGTTTGGGAAAGACCATTGAATTTTATAACTACCCGCAAATTAATTCCGTCCGTGTTGACCTTTGTAAAAGATAAACGACAATATTTGTATGATTTTTCTCATCTCTATGAGAATGTGTGTCTAGACTAAACGCGCATAAAGTTTGTCACGAGAGAGATATGACGTGGCGCGCATGCTAGGCCGTCCAATTCGCCATTTAAATTATAGTGTAGAACAAAAAGACTAGTAATAGAGGTCGACAGACAAGACGATTACAAGACGGATTACGAAGACAGTAGACGAAGCATGAAAATAAAGTAATAAATAAATTAAAGTATTTTTATATAGGTACAAAATTTTATTGTTTTCCAGTAAGCTCTTTACAAAGACTATTATTATCTTTGGTTTGTTATAGGATTCGTACAGAACAATCTTTGTGGCAACACAAAGTATGTGTTTAATCGTCTGTAATTTTAGTAATATTAAACCAAATACGAAGCAAATTTTACATCTTTAATTTAAATCACAAAAGCTGTTCGATGTTTAAAGTAAAATAGCGCGTTTCCAACTGTTAAAATTGTTTCACTTAAACAAAGGACATAATTTGAAAAGGCTAATGCTAAAGATATCTAAAAAATTTAGTCTTTTTTGAAACAACACCTATGTCTTTATTCGTGACTTAAGACTGTTAACCTTAACGTCTAAACCACACAATTCAATGTATATAACCCATAATATGTAATATTTGAATAAAACACTTTCAACCGTTTAAATTCGTTAAAAGTGTTTTTTTTTTATTAGAGGGAACAGGCAAGACTACTTGATGGAATGAGATACCCATATAACAAACGAGATATGCCATCGACCGATATTGGATTTTGATATGAGACAGGTTTTATTTCACGAAATCACATTGACCACAGCTGCTGCTAAGCGTCCGAAACGCCGTGACTATTATAAAAATAAATAAACTAATATATTTCTCGTTTTAAACCGTTAAATGTATTTAAATGTTCACTCGCAATACAGACAATGCAATGTCTTTCTGTATACACACATACAAAGTGTTTGTGGTGTTAGAAATATGAATGACGTCAGAGAAATAAAAAGAACGTCTATTTTTGAAACAGTTTAACGGATTTATGAATTTGAATTTCAAATTTTCAACCGAAGAGCGGATATTTCAAATTACAGCAGACCGTTAATTGAAATGTATGTTACAAGTACGATAATACACAATACAATTGACTTATATGAGACTGCTAGAGCCAGAGTGGCCTCATAACAAAAAACATGATTTTCAATAAGAAATGATACAAAAATGGACTATTAACTTATTATTAGCAAAATGCATAAGTACTATTATTTGTATAAGAATTATGTTAACAATTGTCGGTCACTGTGCTCTTGTAGATTAACACTTTTTGACAGTTTAAATAAAACACTTAAACGGTTTAAAACGCGATATATTAGTTAAACTTATTACTCAACTCTGGATCCCAATAAACAGCATACCGGCAAACGCGAAGACACCGTTAGTCAATTCTGTAAGGACCCGGCCAGTTTCGCCAAATACCAGCTTCGACGGAACAGATGTTGCTAGCGTAGCAATTTTTTACTTTGACGTCAGAGACATCCTCCATCTTAAGTCTCCCCGTGACCACGGTTGCTTTGCAATCCGAAACGTCGGGCCGAAGTTAAAAATCATTATAAAAATAAGTTTAACTAATATATCGCGTTTTAAACCGTTAAAGTGTTTTATTTAAATGAGTACTACTCGCGTAAACTATAGACAGTATTTACTTTTCGACTGTAAAAATATAAGTCATGTCTTCAAATTGCAGTTAGGCTACTTTGGCCGTAGCGGTATCATGTTTTTGTGTGATGGTATTTGGAAGAGTAAATAAAACATCGGGTCCTCATAATCCGATACAAAAATGCAGAAGGAGGAAAACGCAAAACGACATCAAAACAAAATCAACAATATAATATAAACAAATGTGAATAAATTCGTTAACACACATATAAGTTCCCGTTTCGTTCTCAAGTTGATCCGTTACGCTGCTTCACGATCTGCAAAGAATAAAATATTCACATTATATATACTACCTGCAGTTAGCTTACGCGAGTAGTAAATATTCTAATAAAGCACTGTTAACGGTTTAAAACGCGAAATATATTAACGAACCTTTTTTTAACTAATACATCGAGCTTAGATTTTTTAGCTGTATGCCCGTAAAGTTTTTTTACGACAATGTTATACGAAATTTTTAACACGTTTCCTGGGATTCGAATCTGTAACCACTGCGCGCTTCTAGTCTATGCAAACTATTGAGCCAACCCATGATAGTAGACTATATTTTAATGAGCTCGTTAGTCGGTTTAGTTGCGTTTCGGTTTAAGTCATTTGATATCCGAATATCCAAAGCCAAAATGGGTCGACAGCGTATCAACTTGTACAGCTAGATCTGGCATACAATCATCATTGTTATACACTTACATTATTTAAATATGTGTATATGTAAGTACAATGTCTGGAATCAAATGTAAGAATGAGCGAGAGGATATGTGAGAACGGGACGGAGAGACAGATATCAAAGATGGCGAATTAAGACGTAGGACGTAAAGAGCTAAGACGTCAGCTAATGCCATGATGACGTGTAAAATATTAAAATTTACACACTGACATTATTTCAATAGGAAGGACGGCCTCAAATTATCAAACACCCATATTAAAAACTCAGGATCCCAATAAACAGCCTAACCTTAGTCAATTCTGCAAGGACCCGGCCATTTTCGCCAAATACCAACTTCGACGGAACAGATGGCGCTAGCGTAGCAATTTTTACTTTGACGTACTACTGACAGAATTTAACGCGAAATCGGATGCTTTGGAGCAGGGATGGGGATGAGGAGTCCACACCGTCTCTAAGGGAAGACTACCTACCACGTCTACCATGGCTTAAACATTTTAAATCGTTAAGAGTGTTTTATTTAAGTAATATTACGTTTTAAACCGTTAAAGCGTTTTATTTCATGATATCGCGTTTTAAACCGTTGACAGCGTTTTATTTCATAATATCGCGTTTTAAACTGTTGAAAGCGTTTTATTTCATAATATCGCCGGTTAAACCGTTAAAGGTGATGTATTTAAATAATATCGCATTTTAAACCGTTGAAATCGTATTATTTTATAAAATCGCATTTTTAACGGTTAAGAGTGTTTTATTTAAATAATATCGCGTTTTAAACCGTTGAAGTGTTTTATTTAAATGTGTCCTACTCGCGTAAACCACAGACAGTGTTTAACTTACATTATCTCTAAACTGCTATCACTATTCTTGGTGGCCTGCTCTCCCTCGCTGGAGTTCGAACCGCCGGACTCCGAGCGTTGGCTGCGGGTCCTGTGCGGCTTCTTCTCTGGAACTGGTTCCGCTGAAGACGCCTCTTCGGATTGTCGCTGCCACGCCGGTATGGACGGCGGCTCCGTTCTGGTCTTTAGCGATGGGAATTGATTCCTGAAAGATTTATTCGGTACGTAGATGAAATGCATTTAAAAACGGTTCAAGACGCGATATATACAAAGTTTCCCCGTCAAAAAACGAAACGTCGGACCACAATTAAAATCGTTTCCAAGTAAGTTTAACTAATACATTTCGCGTTTTAAACAGTTCAATTGTGTTTATTATTTTAATAAACTGATTTTATTTAACTACTGCTCGCATTATGGATGCGTTATAAAGTCAATAAAAATCCATACTAATATTATAAAGCTGAAGTGTTTGTTTGTTTGAACGCGCTATTCTCCGAAACTACTGTTTCGAATTGAAATATTCTTTGTTAGTTGGACCATTTACCGAAGAAGGGTTTTTAAGTTTAGCAAAGGTACAAAGAGGAATGTGAACAACACGGGGAAAATTATTCATCTATGAGGGTTGCCTGCGCTGCGAAAACGGTTCAAGAAACCAAAGGAATATACATGAAAGAATTATTCCTCTTTAGATAATCTAAAATATGTCCGACACTATCGGCCTTATCACTGAAAAAAACTTAAACCGCGACTGTGGATTCTTGGTTTAACTCTTAAACCATGCTCTAAAATAGTACCATAGTTAGTCCAGTTTCAAATCTGGTTTAAACCAGATTTGGGAGTTAGTCCTCGCTTTGTAATAAGAGTGTGAATGTCTATCTTTTAAGATAAACCTGCAAGAACGATGGGACGCAACCGACGTCATAGGTAACTTATCTTTATAAAGATGAAGAGGTTTGCTAAAAAAATTGTTTGATGCCTAAAACAACTACATATTCTACGCGGACGATGTCGCGGGTATAGCTAGCTAATTTGATAAATTGTTACTACTATGCTGTAGTTACCTATTCAAAAGGATGCCCTTAACTGAAGCTATATCGTCCTTCAAGTTGTCGAGCTGGGACCTCAAGGAGTTCTGCTGTACACTCGCTTGCATTTCGCCCCGCAGCGAAGATATACTCGCGTTCATGATGTCCAGGGATTTGCGCAGTTCCTCTATGCACTCTGTCGTGGATTTGCGCTTTGGCTCCTCTATGAAGATCAGTTGTCGTATGCAGTTCTGGAGAAGACACATACATATTAATAAAGTTCAAATATTTGAAAAAAAAATCAAATCTTCCAATTGAGCTACCGTGTCAATTTGTTAGACCAACAGCACGGACTGTTGTGAATACCGATTCAAGTCTTGCCCGAGTCGTACTATACCTACGTACGTAATTTTATCAATCCAAAACATTAATAATTTGTATAATGTCATCGTATCCATGTAAAGAATACTAAAGTTTACAAAACATACTATATGTAACCATTTAATACAAATTTTAAATTAAGATGTCAATGATTTTTCACTCCTGCTAAGCGTTCAAAACAAGTTAAAAATAAGTAAACCAATAAATGTGGGATTTTAAACAGTTAAGTGGTTATTTACACAATACATATATCTATGCTGATATTAAAAAACTAAAGATTTTTTTTATTTGTACGAACGCGCTAATCCCAGGAATTGCTAGTTCGAAATGATAAATTATTTTTGTGTTGGGGAGGCCATTTCAGGTTTTGGCAATTTAACAACAGACTGCGACCAATAGGAGCAAAAGAAAAGAGAAGAGAAGAGAATTCATACATCTTTGAGGTCTTCCGTTGCGTGCGTTACGAAAACGGTTCAAGAAACCAAAAAATATGTATGAAATAATTATTCCCATTTAAATAATTAAAAAAAAATGTCCAGATCAAGGCAACGTCGTAGGTAACAGCTATTATTTATAAAAATGTGGTTTGCAAAAATTTAATTCGATGCTCAAAATAACGATTCTACGCGGACGACGTCGCGGGCTCAACTAGTAGATATATATAAAAATAATTAATTAGCATTAAATAAAAGTCTAATAAAAAAAAAATTACTTAACACAATCATTGTCCAAATTTTCGTTCATATTTTAATATATAACACTTTCTTATCGTGTGTTATCAGTCAATGAGCCAACTGCAGATTCGTTATTCGAACGCTGATAAGATAAAGTTTTTGAAGATTAAGCAATTATATATAAAAAAAGAAGCAAAGCAAATATACACCGTTATAAGGCTTATAAATGTTATTGATGGGATTCCCTTGATGAAGAAGAAATACCCCAGCCATAATACCTGAATACAGCCTTCCTCGATAAATGCTCTAACAAGAATTTTTCAATTCGAACCCGTAATTCCTGAGATTTCCGCGTTCAAACAAACAAACTCTTCAGCTTTATATATTAGTATAGTAGTACGTATAAACCACGCAGTGGGGTCAAGATTATCTTAATTGTTATTTTTTACTTAGCAATGGTCACTGAATAGAGGTCATATTTAGTGAACACGTACTGAATTAAATATAGACAAAAATACGCATGTGTTAAGGTTGAAATTACATTGCGCGAGAGGTGGATATATGCAGTATGTTGAAAAAATTCGACAATGAGGTGCAGTACACGGTAGCTCAATTGGTAGAGCAACAGCACGGAACGCTGACGATGCCGGTTCAAGTACTGCCCGAGTCGTCATATTTTTCCATCTAAAAAGGGCTTTGTTGTTGGTTGCTGCAAAGCATCCGAAACGTCGGTTCGTTAAATAAATTGTAATGTTTAACTAATACGTCTTCCGTTTTAAACCGTTAATTTTCTATTAAGGGTTTAAAATCCGACAAATTGTATTTTGGGGCTGAGGGGGTGGGGTGAGTTGAGAGGGTTCTAGTAGATTAAGAGCTCATTACAGTATTTAAAACTGCTGTTACATTCTTACAAGGCAAATATAATTAACAGGTTATATGCTGTCTGTAGTTTAAAACACTTTAACGGTTTAAAACGCGATATGTATAAGTTAACGTATTTGAAAATTATTTTTAAACTACGGTCTGACGACAATTCAAACAATTGTTACTAAAATATATCGCGTTTTAAACCGTTAAAGTGTTTTATTTAAACAGTACATATTTTAACGTAAGATATATTTTAAATGGTATTAACTTAATTCGGTTGGATTAATTTACAAAACTTTCCTTTAAACTGTCTAATTTTGAGAAGGGGGGGAGGGGGGAGGTTCATTAACCTTTCACTCATAATTACTGCGCTTGGCAACAAAATATGTTATTCAAAGCACTCGTTTCGTTTTTCTTGACATAAATTCATTCGACTTGCCAGTATTTGTTTGCAGCAATATAAAAATGCAGTCGTTTTTTTTACATCAAAAATATCTACTGGGTCACAAGAACACTCCTTACGAGGTGAACTGTTGATAGTACTATCTTCCAAGACATTATAATTACAACAATATCACTCGGCCCAAATATAATTTCTCTTAAATGCAGAATTGGGACGATGCAACAATGTCGTGAGTTAGCGTTTTACATACAGGGGATCATTATTTTCTATTGGGGACACCGATAGAAGGGTGGATGATCAGTCGACATTGTCTGCTAAATATTTATCCCATTTCCCCATGGAGGGTATTGAGTTATTCACCTCATACTGTGTTCTCTTCAAACCTTCCTGTTTACATCTTATTATTTGTTGCATAGTTATTTCTTTAAGATTATCTTAATTTTTGAATATGTTTTTAATAATTCTATCGCAATGGTTATTGTTCTGTAATAGTAGAATATGTTTATAATGAAAAATAAATTGATAAATTTTGACTGTATAGAGCTTTCATTGTGTAGATAGAAGGTTATATCCTCACATTGCACTATGATGTAAGTATGTAAGATGTCTGTTTAGACGATAATGTCCTGTTATGATTTCTGGGTGAGTCTATTATGGGGTAAAATTATAAACGGCCTGGTCTTTGATAGGTGTCCCAAAAATAAAGGATAATAGTAGCAATTAAAATTCGACATATTGCCACTATCATCGTTCGTTAGTTAATTTATAGTATAGCTGTATAGGGTATAGTTATATATTGTGAGGGTGAACTGTGGCATGTACAAACCGCTGCGAAATAAAGTAATAATAAATGAATATAAAAAAAATTACTATACCCTCATAATAAACTTACTAATAGGAAATATGACTATGCCTTGGCTTTATTTACAAAACTATATATGTAATATGTCCATGAACTGTGTAATCTATACTAATGTTATAAATGCGAAGGTAGTTCTGTCTCTCTGTCCGGCTTTAACTCCAAAACTACTGAACTGATTTAAATGAAATTTGGAACACAGATATTTTAGAGCCTGAGCAAGGACATAGGCTATATATTTTAATGCCAAATAAGGGTTGATAGGAGTTGAAAAACGGGGGAGTGAAAGTTTGTATGAAAATTCGTGGTTTTTGAAGCTAGAACAATGCAACTTTGGCTTTTTGGGAATAGGAGTGGGCATGGGTGTGGGAGTGAGAGTGGGAGTGAGTGTAGAAATGAGAATGGGTGTTAGAGTAGGAGTGATGTGAGGTGAGAGCGTTGCAGCAGTTACCATAGATTGGCTGTCTTAAATGCGCCCTTACATAAATTAATAAAAATAAATAATTAAAAATTCTACCTCAAGTCACTATTCCCTGCGAAAAAAGTCACAGGCACAGCTAGTGCACATATACATATATCATGTCTGTATCATATAAAACTCCTTTTAAAAGACAGGTTCGTTTAGTGGAGTTTCAGTAGTAAATAATTTTCAACGCCCTCTCTATATGCTAAATGTTATTATAGGCTCACCTTATAAAACCAGTAGCATCCATATGCGAATCCTCCATAAATAATAATCGGTAACACTTTCTCTTTGAACCAAGACTGCTGTGATTGTGTAAAGAACCTCAGCTCAGACGTTAAACTTGATACATCAACAATATCTCCACACTTTTCAATAGCTCGTTTAATTTCTAAATCTGTAAGGCCCTTAGTGCGGAGGAAGCGTTCCTTACTCTCCATGGTGCAGCGTTGTACATTAGGATTTGAGAGGAATTTCACAGCCGTTGTCACCTGAAACTGAGGGTTAGTTTAATCCTTTGGCATGACAAGGCAAAAATAGGGGTGAACCTTATTTTCTTTCGGGGATACCGGTAGAAGACCAGGCGAATGAATGTATTTTATGTGGAATTTCAGATAAATAACAGATAATGTAGACAATCATCTGTGCTTCTACTTTTTTCCATATTTTTTTAATGTTTGGTACAATTTGTTATCTAATAAGGTACAGACTAAAAATGAGCACTAATCAAGCGTTACTGAGCACAAGCTGAGTTTAATGATTTGTAAAATTTTACTTCCTTTTTTCATTATTTTCGATGTAATTTTTTTTATTATAAATGTCAGTTGTAAATTGTAAAGTCTTTATGTTTGTATACAGATTATTAATTTTTTTCCAAATAAATTTAGGGACTAAGCTCTTTTAATCTCTTTCTATATCAAACGTGAAGTAGCCAGCTTAATATTAAGAGCAATTAAAACAATATGACAACTAATAAGAAAGCAAAAAGATGTGCTAAGTCAAAAATAAAAACAAAATTTAAAGTGCACTTGCTCAACATGTAAGTGTAAAACCAAGCATTCTTTGAAGGTCACTTGAACACAATAAAAACAAAAAATACTGACTCTACGAGTAGCTAGAAGCAGAGTTAAAAACGTAAAAACATATATTTGATATTGAATACTTACCAAATTTTCACGGATTTCATTACCCGCGCTAGTCAGTACTTCCGAAGACATCATTACAGCAATTTACCAGCACAGAAGTTTTTAAATACCTACTTTACACTAGAATTTTTATTCAACAATACGACGGTAATTAATAGTTTGTTGATAAAAAAAGACAATAGGAATATGTCTTATAAGAAACACTATTGTTTTATAGCAATATCACAAATCATGTTTGTATACGATATTGACAACATGAAAATTATCGAGGAAGAACAAGAAACGAGAGAATTATGAATTAAAGAATAGTCAATAGAGACAATTTCAATTGTAAGATAAACTAAGCATAAGGTAATGATAATGTCAATTGTCAATTGTCAATTGGTCACATCAAAGAGTCGTGGGTTCGATTTCTGTTTCAACATGTTGTAAATCAATTTATATTTCTTCTAAAACAACTTGGTCTAGTAATCTGAATATGAAATGGTTGGTAGGGAAATTTATAATTCCGTCTGGATCACCAACAAACGTTCACAGATAAAAAAGCCAAAATAAGCCGACAGCGCATGTGTTGAGATGCTATATGATTTTTTTCCAAACTCTTCGCTTAATTGAGCGTTTTCTTCTTATCCTTCTTCTTAATTTGATGGCTTTCCAATTCCATATGGATTCTGCACATGTCGTGTGTGATAAGAGAAACGATAAGGCGTGATAGTTTAATATAATATTTTTTTTAACTAAATGGTATTTAAAAAATGGTGTTTAAAAGAATGCAGATATTTAAAAAGAAATGTGAACACACTCGTATTGAGATAGATAAAAAAAACTTAAAATAGACATATAATATGTACTATGTGATACATACATATATACAATACAGAATAATACAAAAAGATATAATACTTAATATACTGAAATCAAAGTTTAATATTATTAGAGTGAATAAAATGCGCTAGAATTATAACTAATTCTTATATTTAGGAGAAGTAAGATGAAAAATACATTCCATATCAGTAGGATGAGGGATACTGTAAGGGGGAGCATCAAGGACGGTAAAACGAAGATTCTTACAATTGAAGAAAAGGTGACCCGTGACCACATTTTCTTCTTCTTAGTAAATTTTAAATAGATTCTATATTTGACATTCTTCGTCAAGCAAACTGTCAACTTAGATTTGTCAAATGTCAATTGGCATTTGACATTGTAGATTGCTAGTTGCTGACTTGAACTTCAATATCAATTTGTTTTGAGAGTAGACTGGATGAGTTTTTTTAAATATATTAGGAAATTAGGAAAATGAGTGATTTCGAAAATGCCACAGAGGCCGCGTCTCTAGCTGTGCAGTTCGACCAAGCTGGACAAGCCGATAAAGCGGTAGAATGCTACCGTACAGCTGCACGTTTGCTCGACAGAGTTTGTTCCCAAGTTTCTCCTAGTAAACAACCAGATATAAGAAGTAAAGTTAGAGAATACCTCGAAAGAGCGACTTTTTTGCAAGAACAAAAAGGTATGTTACATATATGCCCTTACCTTATTTGTCATTACTGTCATTTGAGCTCGCCTTTGGAAATATGACTCATAGCTTTACCAGGTAACTGCTAACAAAAACAAGGTGTTAAGTTTCAAACATTCTTTAGATTATGTTAAGGGTAAACTTTACTTTAGATCAATTGATTAAGTCAAATAGTCTTGCAATAACAATAATCCTACAATTTAAACTTGCTAAAATTCCTAGTTTTCGAGATATTAATTATATATAGTAATATAAATAACTTACAGTTCTCAAATCAATTGTATGTAAAGATAAGCCAAACTTAATTTACAGACAAAGCACAACAAGCGGAAAGTGAGCGTGGGCTGCAGAAATGTTACTTTTTAATGCAACAAGCCTTAGACGCTGATGAAGCAAATTTAAAGGATTTAGCGTTGCAGTTGTATCTGCAAGCAGTTGAATTGGCCGTCTCAGTTGTAGGTTGCAAAGAAATATTAGCATTTCTCCTAAGTATAAATGATATTTCTTACACTTCTTAAATAATTACACCACTGAACATGTTGAGTTTCAAATAAAACACTTTAACGGTTTAAAACACGATATATTAGTTAAACTTATTTGAAAATTATTTTTAACTTTGACCCAGCGTTTTGGTTGCTTTGCAGCAGCCGTGGTCACGGTGTTTATGTTAAAAGTTTTTTTAACTGTGGCCTGACATTACATGTGTTTTGCAGCATCATTTTTGAGTTTAACTAATATAATATATTTCGAGTTTTAAACCGTTCAAGTATTTTATTTTAATGTGTACATCTGGCGTAAACTACAGACTGTATGTTGAGATTTACCAAGATTGCACACTTACAATTTATTCTTACCATTGTAGATAGATAAAAATAATAAAATGTATTTATTTGTTAGATGTTTATATGTTAGGCAATAGAAATCTTTATCAATAATCAATCTAGACCTCATACTTTTCAGAAAACTAGCGACTCGGACATTAGTTCCAGAATCAAAGGTTTTGCAAAACAGGCTCTAGACAGGGCAGAGGAAATAAAGGGTATAAGGAGAATAGGTGCCTTATCTATCACTGAACCGAAGAGACCGCCAGGTAATTTTTTTGTTTTTATATTACTACTACAATAGTTAGTCTGCCCCATAATAAAACTTATATGATTCGGTTTAAATAAAACACTTTAACGGTTTACAACGCGATATATTAGTTAAACTTATTTGAAAATGATTTTTAACTTCGGCCCGTCGTTTCGGATGCTTTGCAGCATAACTAATATATCGCGTTTTAAACCGTTAAAGTGTTTTATTTGAATGTGTACTACTCGCGTAAACTATAGACAGTATTTTATATGGTTCGGTTTTATTGATTACTAGCGGCCCTGTCCCGGCTTCGCACGGGTAGACATAAATAAGTACAAATATTTAAATTATAAGCATACTTATATATAAAACAACCATGAATCACTAAATTAGCAAGAAATTGTATTGCGCGTCCTCGCTGTTAACGACCGTGGTCTATCTCGTTGTGTCAGGAGCCGCTGCAAGCGTTCAGTGTTAGAGTCCCGTGCATGCGTTCGCGAATTCCCAGCTCTATTTCCTTCAAGTCGCTGAGACGATCTTGCATTTTGTACTGCAAAAAGAACCTGAACATTCGACGATAGATTCTCTGGCTAGCGATTGGGACGCGTGCACTCTAATACTTTCCAGACGATCATTTTGGAAGAAGATTTTCCAATACGACGAACTTTTGGTAATCTCGCTTGGTAACTATTCTGAGATAGCTGCGACCTTCTTCTTCTAGGCATATTGCTATGAAGGATATTTATTTTAAATCAGTGAATTAAGAATAAAGTAATAATAATACAAAAGAAAATATTCAAGTTCAAAGCGATAGTTCTGAAAAGAACTTTGACAAACATTATGCAAAGTGTGATTCCTAATACTAAAACTAAGTAACTTTTTAAGTGAAGCATAAAAATGTAAAAAAAAATCGAAATATTCAATGTTGTTCGAGCCCATTGCGTAAGGAGCCCACTGCCCCTCTATCGTGGAATTAGTTACTCGATGCGCGGCGTGGCGGCAGCCGGCATGTATTTTTATTTTAACTTCGTGATATCTTTTGAATGGAATGTCCCATTTCAATAATTAAAAAAGTAATCATTGGGTATTGAGACAGTCTTGAATATTGAATTATTTATTCGGATAAAAATTTGAATATGGTAACACGGTCTGATTTTGAACGGCATTTCTATCAATTTGTCAAATGTAAAAAAGTAGTTATAGTTACGTGACTACAATAGTTAGACATATGCTCTTGTGATGTTTTTTGTAGATATTGATATACTTCTACAATATTGTCGAACGTTTTTTTGTCCTATCATTAATACTTTTCGCAGCGTATGCAAAGAAAGACATTTTACGGCTAATTTTTTTACGCCTTCCGTTGGTTTTAGTAAGAATTTCTAAGATCTATTATCGAGTACTAAATATAGCCTATGTTACTCAGTGATAATGTAGCTTTCTAATGAAAAAAGAATTATTAAAATCGGTTCAGTACTTTTTGAGTTTACCCGTTACATACAAAAATACAAATCTTTCCTCTTTATAATATTAGTATCTAATATATAAAATTCTCGTGTCACGGTGTTCAAACCTTGAAAATCGTCTCCGAAACGGCTGACCGATTCACCAAATTTCTTAAGTGTATTTAATAGGTCTGAGAATAGGACAACATCTTTTTTTTTTTAATTTTTGATCAACATTTTTAATTTCTTTTTTTTGATACAACATACAAAAATACATACACCCAATTTCACTCTTCTACGGTCAACCCTTATTTTTTATAGACATTTTAGTAAAATTATTTATATGGCAAAACAACGTTTGCCGGGTCAGCTAGTATTAGTATAGATTATGAAGTGAACGTACACCATTTTCAATGAGTAACACATATTTCTCGGTACCAGTTAAGTAATAATTCAAAATAAAACAATTAAAAATTAACGGTTTCAAACGCGAGATATATGTGTTTGTGAATTTTTTTACGTTTACTTATATTAAATACTGTCTGTGCTTTACGAGTGCAGTAGGTACATATTTAAAAAACAACTTTGGACCGGTAAACGCGAAGACACCATTAGTCAAATTCACCAGGGCCAGTTTCTCCAAATATCAAATACGGTGGAACAGATGGCGCTAGCGCAGCATTTTGTACTTTAATATTGGAGACACCCTCCATCTTTGGTTTCTCCATGACAACAGCTGCTGGACAGGATCCGAAACGTCCGCCCGCATTTAAAATGATGATGATTTTAAATAAGTTTAACTTATATATTTCTCGGTTTTTAAACCGTTAAAAGTTTTTTTATTTAAATTCACAAATTGCTCTCATTTGCTCAATTACCAATTTATTCAATCATTTTACTTCTTACAGTTGTATCCCCAAGCAGAGCGCAACTCCAAAGAGAGCAAAGTGTACACCTCAAAGTGAGCGGAAAGCAAGTCTACACAGAGGAAGAGAAAGAAGTCCTACGTCAGACCTCCAATATCAACAACAATTGCTTCCTACCTTTCATGGACGTGGATTTGTCGGAGAAGTTCCAATATGCCATACCGTTTGAGGACAGAGCTAGTGAGTTAAGGTTATCCTCGAAGCAGGCGAAAGAGTTTGACAGCTGGGTTAGGCCCCACGAAGTGTCAAGTGACCCTAAGTTAATTGTTGGCGACCATGTTGATTGTTTCAGTATTAAGCAAACTGTAAGTGTTTTATTGATATTATAATAATTATATAAGGCCGATAGAGGCAGAGTGGCCTAACTGAAATTTTTATTACTTATTTATATTGTCATAGTATAAAAATGTTAATCTATAAGAGCACAGTGACACGAACATTGGTAACATAATTCTTACACAAATAATAGCAGAAATTTATTTTCTCATTTTAATTTTCGTCCTTATTAAGAAAATCATGTTTTAATATTAGGCCACTCTGTCTCTAGCAGCCCCAAACTTCTCACAATGGAAGTCCAAAGAAGATTAAACGTTGTCAGCGTATCTTGGGTGATTACAGAGCGATACGGAGGAGATAAAGGAGTGGCGGCGAGTTTCTTGCCAGCTCTTCTCGTTCGTTGATTTGAGAACTGGTAGTAAATGTAAATTTAGAGTTTGTTTTTACTGGTGTGTCGTTCATAAATGTACTTAGTTACAATAAATATTTTTGACTTTAACTTACGTCAAGTGAACTCCAGTATTTCTTTTCGGGACATTGAGTGAAGGCAGGGTGATCAATCTATACACAACCACCATGTCACCCATTCCCTCACTTGATAGAAGTTTTTTTTTTAAATAGAGAACGACAGCTAAACATGGAGTTCATTCGATGAGAGGCAAAATACCCCAGCCATATAACAAGATATGTTGTCGACCTATTTTGACTTTGGATATTTGGATAGATTTTAAGTTATCTAACACTCACTTTGTCCCTTCGAAGCTAAGTAAATTTCCTTGCTTCTCAAATAAAGAATATGTATTTTTTTTTGCTTACAGATAGTATCAGACTGTTCCTTTGTAGCCTCACTGGCAGTTAGTGCCTTGTATGAAAAGAGATTTAATAAGAAGATTATAACGTCAATAATCTATCCAAAGAATAAAAATAAAGTGCCAGTGTATAATCCATTCGGGAAATATATGGTTAAGTTGCATCTTAACGGAGTGAGAAGGAAGGTTTGTAAAAGGATTGTATATGTATATAAAAAGGTGATGTAAATAGCAGATTTTTAAATAAAGCACTTTTAACGGTTTAAAACGTGTAAAGTTACTTAACTTATTTATAATTTATTTTGAATGCTTTGCAGCCGCCATGGTAACTGGGATCTGGGGTGGCTAAATAATAATTTCGCGTTTTAAACCGTTAAAAGTGCTTTATTTAAAGGTGTACAGTAAGTACAGACAAAACTTACGGAAACATTTCGCATGAATTGCTATATCAATATAAAAGTACTATCATTTATGTGGTAAAAACAACATTAATTTATGGCGCCATTTACTTATTTTTTTCATTCTTAGGTAAACTCAACTAGTACAATGGGATAGCCAGGCTATTGTCCTCAAAATGAGGCTGCTATAGTACTACAGTAGCCTATCTGCTATTTTATGACTTAACTTATGTATATTATTATAGTCTAAAAGTGTTAATCTACAAGAGCACTGTGACCGACAATTGAACATAATTCTTACAACCATTTTCGCCTAAAAAAGAAAAATCGTGTTTTTTGTTATTAGGCCACTCTTCCTCTAGCAGAACGATCAGGCATTAATCCACTTTCCACTCGAAAAAAAAACTGGCATAGACAACCCAATACTATAAAATTTTCCACAGATAATAATAGACGACCGTCTACCGTACAGCAAGTATGGCCGTCTCCTATGCTCCTACTCGAGCAACAAGAACGAATTTTGGGTGTCGATGCTGGAGAAGGCGTACATGAAGGTCATGGGTGGTTATGACTTCCCCGGATCAAACAGTGTGAGTTCTAACTTGTTTTAGGACGACAGGCAAGATGTTTACTTGATGGTAGGTGATATATCTAAATAAGCTGCGATGTCCTATTTTGGCTTTGGTTATTTGGAAAGTGTTAAAAAAATAAGTTTTTATTCAAGTTTTGTGTGTTTTACATAACAGTTACCAAGGAGGGGACACAATTTTACAACGTACAGTAATTTACAACTAGTGACATTAGTAGTGTAGGAACTTGTGAATACAAGACTATTTGACAGTTTTCCCCATATTCCTCCATATATCACATAGGAAAAGGGGGAAAATTGTTATTAAAGCTAAAATTCATTATTGTAAATGTAACATTGAATATTCCAGAATATAGATCTACACGCTCTTACCGGGTGGATCCCAGAGCGATGCGCGATACGAAATACTGAAGCCGACTTCAACGCTGAGGCTCTGTACGAGAAGTTGAGGACTCGACTGGAGAGTGGGGACGTTCTAGTCACTGTCGCAACTGGCGCACTGGATGATGTCGAGGCGGAGAGGACTGGGCTGGTAGCGGCGCATGCATATGCTGTTCTGGACGTGCGACTTGTAAATGTGAGTGTTAAGGAGGGGAGAAGGGGGATGTTTGGTTATGATGATATAGGAGGACAGGGAAGCACGTGGGGTTACTTGATGGAAATACCTTAGCCATGTAACATCTAAAAACGTTATTGATGTCTGTTGTTTGCGAGAGCAGTACACATATAAATACAACACTTTAACGGTTTAAACGCGATTTATATCAGTTAAACTTATTTGGAAATTATTTTAACTACGGACCAACGATTCAGATGCCACGGGGAGACGTGGGTGGTTACATGGGCTGCGAAGCATCTGAAACTATTTTAATCGTTAAATTGTCTCGTTTCAAAGATATTGATGTATTATTGCTTTTTGATGGACATTGGGACATTTTCAGACTGAAAACGAAACGCGATTGAGCATCGCGTATTTTTCATCTGTGGACGTTGGTTTGGACTCGACTCGAAATTGCAGTGACGGTTTTGCAGAGTCCAAAATGTTTCAGAAGAAAATATAAATTGATTAGATACACGTGCTATTGGTGGGGATCGACCTTGTACCTGACTATATTGCTACCATCAGACCATCGAGCCAGTCAGTTAAACAAACTTACTAATATACTCTACTAATATGGCTTAGCCTAAGTACACGCAACGTCGAGAATCATTTCTCAATTACGACGGTCAAACAGCTCAAAAATGAAAGTAGCAATATATTTCGCGTTTTAAACCGTTAAAGGTGTCTCTTTTAAATGTACACTGTAGAAAACAGTTAAATGGTACTTGTGCAGGGCGTACAACTCCTCAAGCTGAAGAACCCCTGGTCTCACCTCCGGTGGAGGGGGAACTACAGCGAACTGGACACCGCCCACTGGACCCCGACCCTAAGAGCCCAGCTGAACTACGACCCGGACAGCGCAGCGCAGTACGACAACGGCGTGTTCTGGATAGATTTCACGAGCATATTGAAGTTCTTTGATGTATTCTACTTGAATTGGAATCCAGAGTTATTCAAATACACATACTGTATACATCAGTAAGTGAAGAACTTAAGAACTTCATGTTGGGTATTATTTATTTATGTACATATCTGTTATTAGTTACCGGTTAAGTCTGTAAGAATAAATACCACAGAACAATCTAAGCTAATAAAAAAAAGTATTATTTTCTCAACATTGGCAAATTAAACATCATGTTGTTAAATATTATATAAATAAAAAACTGTTAACGGTTTTAAATGCGAAATTCGTTAGATGACGATTGGGATGCTTCGGGTATGGAAGATGAGGGTGTCACTAATGTCAAAGTCAAAGCTGCTACGCTAACGCCATCTTTATTTAAAAATAAGTTATCTAAAATAAGTCGCGGTTCATACCATTAAAAGTGTATTGTCTGTATATTGTATACTGTCTATAGTTTACGCGATTAGTACACATTTAAATAAAACACTTCAACGGTTTAAAACACGATTTATATTAGTTAAACTTATTTGAAAATTATTTTTAACTTCGGCCCGACATTTCGGATGCTTTGCAGCAGCCGTGGTCACGGGGAGACAAAAGATGGAGGATGTCTCTGACGTCAAAGTAAAAACTGCTAAGCCAGCCATCTGTTTTTGGCGAAACGTCAGCCGTAGTTAAAACAGTTTTCGAATAAATTTAACTAATATATATCGCGTTTTAAACCGTTAAAATGTTCTATTTAAATGAATATTATTTATTTATGTAACTATATATGTATATATTATGTAGCTTCAAGATATTAAACGCCTGAGATCCCATAATAAAAATACTAGATCCCAAATACCTGCATACCGGTAAACGAGACACTGTGAGTCAGTTTTGTAAGGGGGGTACCCTTACGAAACTGAGTTGTGTACCCAGCCAAGAGTCAGCTTATTGATTTTAACATTAGGGGCACCCTCCATCTTCAGTCAGTCAGTACGCAAAAATTAGCGTTTTTTGATTTTCCCCCTTATTACTCGACCTGTGAAAATTTCGTTTTCTTGAAAAATTGTCTAGTGAAGTTAACACAATAGATTGTTAGGATTCCGTTTGCTATAACTCACTGCTTATCTGACCATCTGTCATACAACGGACACGACACACGACACGATACATTATGGCAACTGGCAACTCAAAACACTTGAGACATAAAAAAATAATTAGTTAGTTTTTAATTCCTTGGTTTTCAGGAAATGGGACGCGGGCAACGGGCCGGCCCGGGACGCGTACAACGTCGGGGAGAACCCCCAGTTCTCCCTCCACGTCCAGGGCAAGGGGGCAGTCTGGCTACTCCTCACCAGACACATAACCCAGATTGACGACTTCAGAGACAATAAGGAGTATATAACGCTCTTGGTTTATAAGAATGGACAGAGAGTTTACTATCCATGTTAGTATACCATGCACACTTAGGGATCTCTACCATTTTTTAGTTAGCTTAGACCTATGTTGACTTTTTTTTATTATCAAACTTACTTAATTATTAATTACATTTTATTATCAAACATTGTTTGCTTGGTAATTGTGTTACATTTTTAGTATCAAAATAGTTAGTTTAATTATTTCTTAAATTGTTGAAAATCAAATATAGTAGAAGAAAGTTAAAGTAGCGAAATTAAATAACAAAATGTTTAAAACTGTTGAAATTCAAAAATCATTCGCCATAGCTATCAATATTATGGACAATATGAAATTTACTTAATATTCACATTTTCAAGTGCATTGAAGTCTGACTCGGGCGGATCTCGAACCGATGGCCAGCGTTGTTTCAACTTGACTCTAATCTACATACTCTATTAATATTAGAAGTGGGACACATTCCTGTTAAATGGTTTAGATATATATTTGTACCGCTTTAAACACCAAAGTGCTTGACAGATTTTGATAAAACATTTTGACATTTTGAAGTAGAATTGACTATTTAAATAACTTTTATCACTAACTAATGCGGTGAAGACTAAAATAAAACGGTTTTAACGGTTTAGAACGATACAATTTATATTTAAGCAGATGTTTCAAATCGTTTTCATCAGTCGGGTTAAAAATAAGTTTGCAAGTGAATTTCGCGTTTTAAAACGTTTTTATTTTGTTTCAGACGACCCCCCTCCGTACATCGACGGCATCCGAATCAACAGCCCCCACTACCTATGCAAGATAATCACCAATGACACATCGGCTGATAAGTTTACCCTCGTTGTGTCTCAATATGAAAAGTCGCGTACGATCTTTTATACGCTGCGTGCGTACGCGACTTGTCCCTTCTCGATGGGCAAAATTGAACCTTACCCCTATAGAAAGACGGTATGTATTAAAGTCTATAGTTTACGCGAGTAGTACACATTTAAATAAAACACTAACGGTTTAAAACGCGATATCTTAGTTAAACTTATTTGAAAATTACTTTACCTACGGCCCGACGTTTCGGACGCTTTACAGCAGCCGTGGTCACGGGGAGACGGAAGATGGAGGGTATGTCTAATGTCAAAATAATAACTGTTAGTGCCATCTGTTTTTAGCGTAGCGTCAGGCCGTAGTTTAAATAATTTTCGAATAATTTTACCTAATATATGTCTAGCATATAGCCTATTAACTTGGAAAACGGTACGTGATTTAAATGTGTCAGATACATGTGTGTTTTGCTCCACAGCCTACCAGATCAACCGGTGTATAGGACTGTAAACCGCTGCGTTACGTAACGCGTTACGCTAGTCAATCTAGCTGTTTAATTCGACTCATACCGTGTATCTGTAATTTACGAGAGTATTTTCCATATATATAATATACTTTTATCGGTTTAAAATTTGAAATTTATTAATCAAGTATCTCAACCTGTATAATAAATTATAACGTACTTAACCATTGAAGCTGTTTCATTTAAAAGCTGTTACTGCTGTCATAATTTTTCAGCAATCATAACGAGATTCTCTCATCTCCCATTCTCAGATCCGAGGCGAGTGGACCAGCAGAACGGCGGGGGGTTGTGAAAACCACCCCTCCACTTATCCAAATAACCCAAAATTTGTGGTCACCATCCCAGACTGTAGGACAACGTGTCACCTGGTGGCGGAGCTCAAAGGACCCAAGCAGTACCAGATCGGGATTGACGCGAGGGTCGAGTCTTTGGAAGACCCAGGTGTCACTGCGCCGTTCCTCAAAGAGTCTTCTGGACCATTTAGGTATGTTGGGGGATATTTTGACGGACACGTCGGGTCTAATGGTAGTAATGTATGGCTAATAATCAACGGTTAATTTAATACAGTCTGTAGTATACGCGCATTTCAAGAAATCGCTTTAACGGTTTAAAACGCGAAATATATAAAACTTATTTACTAATTATTTTAATTACGAGCCGACGCTTCGGAACAGCAGCCATGGTCACGGGGAGACTAAAGATGGAGAGTGTGTCTGACGTCAAAGTAAAAACTGCTATGCTGGCGCCATCTGTTTTGGCGAAACGTCGGGCCGTAGTTGAAATAAATTAAAAACAAGTGTAACTAGTACATTTCGCGTTTCAAACCGTTAAAGTGTTTTATTTAAATAACGGGTCCCTGACGGGTCCAATATGGTTATATGTTTTGTAATTATATTTATTTCCACTTCTACTACAAATGACAGCCGAATAAAGAGATTTATTATTAGTATAATTGTTTTTGTATTTATAATGTTTTCGAAATATTGGACTTCACCTGGGAAATCTGGACATTAAATTGGGTGGTAGGTGAAAATCCATCAAGTTTAAGTCGCTTTTCGCTTTTAATCTGTGGATTTTCAAAGTCAAAGGGCGACAGCGCATCTTGTGGAAATATTTTATCCTTGTTTCTTCTCTGTCATAACAAATACATGCATTCTGCATCTTTTAAACTTCATGTAATCGCGTTGCGGTTTCAGTCTGTAGATTCCCAAATGTCTGTACATTTTATTCGATAAAAAGGGGGGGGGATTGAATTGATTTTTTCAAACTTGTTGCTTGATGCGTTTTGTATGTCGCGATGTTGGCTTCAAATGGAATACCTCTGCAGGTCTGGCTTCGTGGTTCTGCAGCTGCGGAACCTGCCAGCTGGTCGATACATACTCACCCCGTCCACGTTTTACCCCGGCGAGGAAGGTCCCTTCTTCCTGGAGCTCAAGTCTACGTGCGAGGTTTCCTGCGAACCACGTCACTAGGTGGACCTCAGGAGGAAGGAGGATATATGTCTATTGCGAGCGGCTTGTAAATCCAAAGCCGAAATAGGTCAACGACGCATCGTGTAGATATTATATGGCTGGACCATCACCTCCCATCAAGAGGAATGCCCATTTCAGGACACTCTGGAAATAAAAACACTTAACAGTTTGAAACGCTAAAATGTAAAAATCAATTAAATTTAAAATAAGTTAGCTATATTTCGCGTTCTAAACCGTTAAAAATACAAATGTGCACTACATGCCTGAGTTGCAGGCTATAAAGATAATCATTCGATTATTTTTTCTGTTCATTTCAGGCCTGCTTATTTATGGGAAATGGGCATTTCTCGCCTTGAAAATTCATTTATTGATAAGCATTGCAAGAAGCCTGAATCATTTGTCGAATTTATTAGCTAATAATGTTTATTATTTTGATGACATTTTATTTATTTAATTTAAGCAATTTTTTTATTTCCTTTTTTTATTTGACGCCAAAAAGTATGATTTTTTTATTTTTATTTACTTAGTAATTAATGTTAACTATGATTTAATTTTAATAAATATAGTAATTTTCCTGAAAGATTTGAATTGCACTTTCAACGGTTTAAAACACGAAACATACTCTGACTCGAACCATACTAAGTTAGAGACACGAAACATATAAATTAAATTTATATGTTTCGTATTATTCGGACTTTCGTTTTGCGTTTTAAACCGTTTAAAGTTTCAATGAATATAATTCTAATTCATGTTAACTAAATATACACTATATTTAAGAAGAATCTCACTTTTGTAAAACCTTTAAGAAATTATAATTATCGTTATATATTTGTAATTAATGAATATAACGCACATATTAATTATATACCGTTTTAAGCAGTCAAGTTCTGGGTTTAAATCGCTGGAAGACAATAAGTCGTTTCGGTTGGGCAGGGCACAGAAATTCAGTTAACAGTAATACCGTCTGTAGTTTACGCGAGTAGTACACATTTAAATAAAACAGTAACGGTTTAAAACGCGATTTATTATTAGTAATATATAGCACATTTTAAACCGTTAAAATGTTTTATATAAGTTCAGTCTACCTGCCCATAAATATAAGTGTGACTTTGAGACAACATTTTGTGAAGAAAATCTTAAATACAATAAAAAAAATCTAATAGTATTGTCACTCCAGTGTGGGGGGAAAGAGAAAACAAAAAAGGGGTTAATGGGGGGGGGGAAGTCATTGTAAACTATGTACTGTGATACTTTTAGATTTAAGTGCATTTCAAATTTGAGGTCCGTTCAAGTATTGTGTAAGTAGAAAGGGGGTTGCTTTGCCCTTTTTTTATGGCCTTGGGGGGGCGAGGAGGAGGAAGGGCTTAAGAAGAGGCAAAAGTAGATTGTCGATGGCTTTTTTAAATTTACTTGCGAACTAACAGAATTAATGAAAACGATTGTTACTTTTTTTGTTATTTCTATGCTCTCAATGGCAATTAAAAATGAATTTTCTACCAGGAAGGGGGGGGGGTAACAGAAATTAACTGAAATAATATTTGAACCGACCCTTATATAGATATATCACGCGACGTAGCCTTACTGTTAAACACCAATATTGACCTTCAAGACATATAATTTGAAATAGTTAAGATCATATAATATATTATGTATTGAAATTGATTTTATTAGTAAATATTTTTCATAAATATCGTTGTTTATTTATTTATTTATTTATTAATTACAAACACCACAGAAATGGTTTACAACAATAATTTTATGTACTAGGTTATAACTAAAAGGCGGCCTATCCTGAACACATTCTTCAGCAACTAAATGAAGGAAAAAAAAAATAACAAAAGGATATAGGTAGGTGGTGCTAGAAAGGCGTGAAAGAGGCAGTTAACAGCTGGAAAGATAAAATTTGGTAACTGAGATTTAAAAGTACGGAGAGATTGAGCTTTTCTGATGTCTAAGGGAAGAGAGTTCCAGAGATGGCTTTAACAGTGAAAGAAGTTGAAGTTTAGTTTATTCCGAACTAGCTCTGTGTTAGTTATTTTGGGCATCCAATTTTTTTCTAAAAAAATATGAATACTTTCTCCTCTTTTTTCCGAAATTTCATAAAAGTTTTATAAAATTCCCTCTTCAATGTATGACCGCCTCTGTAGCCAAATGGTTAAACGTGACGCCTAGCAGTGTGTAAAGCGCAAGAGGTCCTGAGTTGTAATCCCGGTTAAAACAATAGATTGTTTCGGTCGGGCAGGACACTGAAGTCTGATCTACTACTTGCCGGTAAATCAGGAAAACGGACACAGAAATGTGTTCGCCCCATGCCTAACGAGGGGAGACGGGATTTCACACACACACGCTTCTTCAATGTCTCTGTAACAAACACAAAAATGATTTTTCAATTCGGGCCAGTATTTCCGGAGATTTGCGCATTTTAATAAACAAACTCATCATCATAAAAATTAGTATAGATATTTAAATAAAACACTTTAACGGTTTAAAACGCGATATATATTAGTTAAATAGTTTTTGACTACGCCCCGACGTTCCGGATGATTTGCAGCAGCCGTGGGCACGGGGAGACGTAATTATAATAATTTTTGAATACATTTAACTGAAATAGATCGCGTTTTAAACCGTTCAGTGTTTTATTTAAGTGTGCACTACTCGCGTTAACCACAGACAGTATTTAGTATAGATATATATAGAAACATATGCATATATATTTAGTAAAAATATATTTTTTTAGCACAAATCAGCACTAGAATTTTGATTAAATAAAACACTTTGACGGTTTGAAACGCGATATATTTTAGTTAATCTTGTTTGAAAATTATTTTTAACTACATTTGGTCTTGCAGCAGCCCGTGGTCACTGCTATTGGTTCTTCAGTTTTGCCAAATACAGAACTATCAGTTTTTCCTATGAATCAGATACACCCTACATATATATGTATACATATATATATATATATGTCGCGTTTTAAACCGTTACAGAGAGTATTTAGCAAATCGTTCTAAAAAAGTAGAAATAAGTGCTTAATATGTGGGCACTTTTGGTCGATACTAAAGTGGTTTTATAAAATGAAATTCCGATAAGTTCTAAACGAAATGCTAACCGCAGAAGTTACGATGGCACTCGAAACCGCAGAGAAATATCTCTGTTGGCCACAGACCGACTCGGTCTAACATAACTTTTAAACAAACGCTCCCACAGCTGACTACAAAGTATAGGCCAGTATTTTTTATTATAGAGGTGGATAGAAGCAAGAGATAAACTTGAAAACACATAAGAGTCTGATGTGCTGTCGGCCTATATTTTCTCTGGATACACATGCAGAGATTGCAACCGAAACGCGATAAGACGTAATGTCTTTTTAATATGAGGATGATTGGTTGTGACTTGGACGGAATTTCGGAATATCTACCAATAGGAGATTAGTCGTGTTCCAGGTGCAATATTGTCACGAACCACCTCCCACGGATCAAAATGCCGTTGAGTTAATAGTGCGGTTTCAGTCACAAAGTCAAAGTCAAAAATCATTTATTCATGTAGGTAACTATGTACACTTATAACGTTTATTAACTTTATTAATTACAAACACCACAGAAATGGTTTTCAACAATAAATTTTTTTGTTCTAGGGCTTTAATAAAAGGGCCCCCTTTCCCCAAAAAGGGCTTTCTTCCCGGCCCCCCGGGGGGGAGGGAAAAAAAAAAAAAAAAAAAAAAAAGGAGGGGGGGGGGGGGGGGGGGGGGGGGGGAAAAAAAAAAAAAAAAAAAAAAGGGGGGGAAAAAAATTTTTTTTTTTTTTTTTTTTTTAGAGGGGGGGGGGGGGTTTTTTTTTTTTTTTTTTGGGGGGGGGGGGGGTAAAACAATAAACACAATTTTCTCCCCCCCCCCACAAAATAATTATAGAATCTAACTTTACATTTACTACCAGTTCTCAAATCAGGGGCGTAGAACGAACGAGAAGAGCTGGCAATAAACTCGCCGTCACTCCTTTTATCACAGTCTAGTGTAGGTGTTGTACGGCTGGGTTAATTTACTACTACCGTCAAGTAAACACACCAATCAAACATTTTCTATTCTCCTCTACCATAAAAATTAATACATTGTGCAAAGTATTTTTATTTCAGTTTACTGTCTCGAACAGTAATTTTTTTTTATCACTCGCTTACACAAAAAATCTACTTGTTGCTATCTATATTAATATACAAAGCTGAGGATTTTGTTTGTTTGAACGCGCTAATCTCAGGAACAGTACTGGTTTGAATTGGAATTTTTGTACTAGTTGTGCCCGCGACTTCGTCCGCGTGGATTAGTGACTTGGGATAGAATTTTTAACTATTTAGGCTGTTTATTAATTTATGTAAGGGCGCATTTAAGGCAGCCAATCTATGTTGTTAGTGCTACTTTGCCGCAACACTCTCACCTCACATCACTCCCACTCTAACTCTCACACTCATTCCTATCCCACTCCAACTCCTATTCCCTAAAAAGCCAAAGAAGAAAGTTTCATTGTTCTAGCTTTAAAAACCACGAATTTCCATACAACTTTCATCTCCTTTTTTCAAGCCCTATCCACCCTTTTTTGGTATAAAATATCTGTGTACCAAATTTCATTGAAATCAGTTCAGTAGTTTCGGAGTTAAAGCGGGACGGACAGACAGGCAGATTTACAGTCGCATGTATAATATTAGTATAGTATGGATATAAAAAAATTCTTTTTTTTTTTTTAAATTATATAGTCTTCATTAATACATGTGAAAAATATTAATGTTTTCAAACTTATAACTTTGTAATTTCATCTTTAATATTTCTCAACTAAAATAAGATTGAACCTTAATCCCAATTGTTAAGGTTGAAATTACATTCGAGAAGGTGCATGTATCAATAAGTTGAAAAAATTCGACATAAGGTGTAGGACTCGTAGTTCAATTGGTAGAGCAACAGCACGAAGCAATGCCGGTTAAGTCCTGCCCAGTCAAAATTTTTTCAATTTATTTTCGAT